ACGAAGTCGAGGACGAAGACGTTGTTCTTCAGCACTGCTTTCCCGATGTAGAGACCGCCTCTCCCGTGGTAAAGTTTGAACTCCTGGGTCGTGCTGTCGGCTTCCAGATGAATTCCTTTCGCCATCAACTGGCTAACGCTCAGTAAGTTGTAGCCGAGTCCTTCAGCGATGAGTACCTTAGACATGTGCAGTATGACATTTGTTTCTCTTGACTGAAGCTGTACCACTCCTTGTCTTCGTGTGCGCAGGTTTTGGTTGTTGGCAACCGTGATGATCACTTCCCGTTGGAGTCGATGTTCGCGTTGTACGAAACGCCCGGACGAGCACATGTGTTGCCCGCAGCAACTGTCCAAGAACCAGGTGTCTTGGCCGGACGGTTCACTTTGAGCGATGGCGGCGTACGCTGGATTCGGCTGGAGTAGCTCACGGCGAGGCGTTCTGTTGTCAAGCTCTTCTTCCGGTGAGTAGTGTGGTGGTGATTCGGTTGTACATGAATCGGTTATCTTCGTCATGCAGTTGATTATATTTCTTGCTCCTTGTGCAGGTTGTCCGGGTGAAGTCGTTGAAGCTTGAATAGTGGTCGTCGCACTTGCTTGTGTTGAAGCCATTTGGGGGCTTGAAGGTCGAGGTTGTCGCTGTGGTGCTGTTGATTGCTGACGATTCGGGCAGTGTGTGCGCGGGTGCCCTGAAGTCTTGCAGATGTGGCAGAAGGGAGGTACTATCTTCGGTTGCTGCTGTCGGTTGTTATAATTGCTGTGTCGTCGTTGAGTGTGGAATGCGAACTCTGATACTGTCGTTTTCTTCCTGTGTCGTTCTTCCTGCAGGTCCATATCTTGCTGCTCGGCATGTATTTCGGCGCAGAGTGCAGCTTCAGAGATTCTTCCGTGGGCTCGAAGAATGGCTTTGGTGGCGCGCCACTGAGGACCAAGCCCACCAATGATGACTGTCACGAAGGCGTCTTCAGAGATTGACCCTCCGCATCGAAGCAGCTTGTCGCGCAGTTCGCGACATCGGCTGATATACGCCAGTCCTTTTTCTCCTGGTTTCATTTCGACTGTCGTCAACTGCGCCATTAACCTGCTCTGGTTTACACTGTCTGTTGCTTGATACAGGTTCTTCAGATGGCTGTACGCGAGCTCCGCCGAGTTGCCGAAGGTCCGGTAAGAGCGAATGTTCTGCTGCTGAGTTGGTGTCACGTTCCTCAATAGGATTGTATACGCCATCATTGATTGATACGTATACTGCTGCTTTTCATATTGTGTCCCGTTGGCTGGATACTGCAGGGACCCGTCGAAGAAGCCGAGTATCTGCGCGCCCTCCATCATCAGCTCGAATTCAAAGGACCAGGTAAAGAAGTCTTTGCCGTCGAAGGGTCTTGACGTTTGCAGTTTTAAGACGTGTGCAAACTGCGACTGAACTTGAAGTGCGTCCAGTGGTCTTTCTTGTCCAGGTGAAGGTTGCGGGTGGGGCACGAAGCTGATTGACCCGCGCTCGTACGGAGCAAAGGTAGGTTGCTGCTGCTGGTTTCCTCGCGCATATGACGACCCATCAAGACTCATGGGTGTCGCTCCGTTGTTGCTGTTGTGTGTTTGTGCATGTCCCGACTGCTGGTGTTGTTCGTAGAAGGACATGAAGGAGAAAAATTTCTCCATCATGTTCTGGTCAAAGTCCGAAGGGTGGTTCATGGGGGTCTCGGTTGACGTTCCTCTTGGTCTTGTTGCCGTGCCTTCTTCTGTCTGCAGGCCAGAGGCTGGCGGTGGAGTAGGAGTAGTGCCCGAGGAGCCATTAGGGGAGCTCCTTTCCTTGTTTGTTGCCATGTCTTGTAATGATATTAAAAAGAGTAGAGTTTCCCTTGTCAGCTCTCATACCATGTTGGGCTGAGATAGCCCCTTAGGATCTTTGCAAGGGATAACTCTAGGTGAAGTAGTTGTAATAGCGGAAGCGTTTAGTGAAGAATTTGAACCGACCTTGCACTGGTGTGTGAGAGCAAAGTTGATTGCATTAAACAAGCAAATACAAGGATTTATATAAGAGTACAGGGAACAGATAGATAACTGTATTGCTGTTGCGGTTCGATATAGCGCGACTCGGGCAACTGCTCTGTAACGAGTCAGTTGTGTGTCCTTAACTGTCGCGCTGTAATTGTCGAGTCAAAAGTCAGCGACCTTTGACTTTCTCGTAACCTCCAGGCGGTTACCCTAACCTCCGAGGTTGACTCGATGCTTCGATTGGGACTGCTTCGCTTGGTACCTTGGATTTTGATACGACAGAAGCGCACTTAGGACTTATTGTTTCCAACAAAGTTTACGTGCGCTTATAATAAAACAAGTTTTTTAGGGGGTGCGCTTATAATCGAGTAGGGGACATAAGCGCCACACGCCAATTAAAAGCGCCAGGCGCTTATCCAAGGGTGGCGGTTATATCCAGGGTATGACGGTAATGGGGTGATGGATGGTGTGATGAGATGATGGTGTGATGTTATACGTAATGGTGTGACAGGATAATGATGCGATGGGACAATGAGATCATGGTGTCATGGGGTGATGAGGAGACGAGATGAAGGGAGTGCATTTTCCACATCAAAAGCGTGGACACAACACAAGAGACAATGAAGTGCCAATGGCAGTGGTGGCAAGCCATGCGACAAATGTGAGCACATGCCGTCCAAGGCACGACTAACCTCATTGTGGAGATGAGTGATCGGTGAGGGGAGTGTGAGCGCATAGATGGCAGGGGATGGATGGATGGATGCTGCTGGCTGGACCATGCACACCTGGTGGGTGATTGGGGGGAAGGATGGCCAAAGAGAGGTCGAGAGAGAAAGAGAGAGAAGTAAGGTAGATGCAGGATACGCATATTAAACGGTGTTGGCTGGACTGTGTTCATGTGGACAGGTGGGGATTGCAATGGGGAAGGGGATGGGGGAGGGGAAGGAGATGTGGATGCAAAATTGTAAGGTGAAGGGGATGGGGGGACGATGGTGGTGTGTGAAGGTTGCACTCTGCACACCTGATTGACATGAGACTGACCTGAGACTGACTTTAAACTGACCTGAGACTGACCTGAAACTGACCTGAGACTGACATGAAACCGTCCTGAGACTGACTTGATACTGATCTGAAACTGACCTGAAACTGACCTGAGAGTAACTAGAAACTGACCTGAAACTGACCTGAGACTGACATGAAACTGACCTGAGACTGACTTGGAATTGACCTGAAGCTGACCTGAGAATAATTTGAAACTGACCTGAGACAAACATGAAACTGTCCTGAGACTGACTTGAAACTGACCTAAAACTGACCTTAGAATAACTTGAAACTGAACCGACCTGAAACTGACCTGAGACTGACATATGCTCTATAGCCTCCGCCAGCCCCAGCAGCAGCAGCCCCGCGGTGAATTCAGCAGCCCCGCACGTCTCCCACCACTCCGCCATGCCAACAGCTCTCAGGTTGCATGCGAGCAGTGCGCCCGTGCCGACGGGAATCGGTGAATCCGTGCGTGGGTGTAGGGGAAGCAGGTGCGGAGCTGGAAAGACGGGAGAGGGGAGAGGAACAGTGTGATACTTGAATCACTTTGGAAGAATCTCAAGAAATTACAAAAGCAAGGGGAGGGGGTTGTGGGGGGGGGAGGGAGTTGGAAGAGGGAGGGAACAGCGGAGGAGGGAAGGGAGCAACAACATGGTGGGAAGGATAGCATGAAGGCTCAGGCAAGAGGACGACAACTGATAAGATTCTATGGACAACTCACAATCCACGATGGGTGGACAATCGTTACATTTTCCGCAGCATCGCTGGCGGTGGTGCGGAGGCGGATGCAAAGCATCATTTTGGCGAGGCGTCATCTCGGCGAGGTGATGCCCACACTCGCACACCACAGGCTCAACCAATTGGACTGCGTGCGATGCGATTGTAGGGGACGAGTCGCGAGACCAGCCATGGCAGACCCTAACGTTGGGATTGGAAGTGACTTTTGAGTCGACTCAAAAGTCACCTCGTAACGATTGTAGGAGATGAGTCGCGAGACCAGCCATGGCAGAGCCTAACGTTGGGATTGGAAACTGGGGTCTGGAGAGGGGAAAGGGAGGGGGAACGAGAAGTGAAACAGGAAGGAGAGGGAGCAAAGTTATGTTGCCCATCCACACCGATTGCCCATCCACACCCACTGCCCATCCATACCCACTGCACTGCCTACTCCTGTTTGAGAACATTTCCAAGCTTCTCTCACCTGCCGAGCTCCACGGCTCTGTTGTCGACAGTGGTGTGTCAGCAGTGGCTTGAGTTGAGTGCATTCATGCTGTGCTTGGTGCTGCCATCATCTTAAGGGATGGGCTGACCAGAATTCGACAGGATGGGGAGGGAAGGCAAAGACGTTGAAGAGGAATTTCAAAGGGAGGTTGTTAGGGTTTTGAGGAGGTTATAAAGATGTTTCAAGGAGGTTCAAAGGGAGTTTCACTGAGGTTAAGAGAAGGTTGGAAAAATGCAGAGTTCATCACAACAAACAATTTAAACCACCCGAATCGACCCATACATGCAAGAGAGAGTCGTGATGTGAGTACAATGTGTTTATGTGAAACCCGGCTGAGTAGGATCATGAGTTGACCAGAATCTAATATGTGCAGGGGTGGGCACAAGAGCGAAGAGCTCTAGGAGCAAGGGCTCGCCCCTGCCCTCCTTCTCTCATTTTTCCACAAGTGCTCTGCGCTAGCAGCATTAGGAAGGTTTCAGGAAGGTTATAAACAAAGATTACAAGGAAGATAAAAACAAATCTGCACCAACCAAATCAGCTCATGCATGAAACGTGAAGCAAAAAATGCCAGAAATTACGTGCCCCCGCCGTCCCCCTCTCCCCCTTCCCCACCCCCTCTTTCTCCCCCTGTCCTTCTTCCTTCTCTCACCGCGACACGAAGAATGGCCTGATAACGACTTCCACAGCCCCCCATGTGGGCAAGGGGAAGCCGTCCTGTACCGGGGATGCTCCTACCACGGACACAGGGTTTAGAGGTAGCACATTAGGAATTGGGGGTGAGGAGCAAAGCGCAGGGGCGCAGGTTGAGGGGCACAGAGGGGGGGTAGAGGGGGGTTGGGGGGGGAGGGGGAGGGTGGAAGAGAGGGGTGTTGAGAGGGGGAAGGGGAAGGGTCAGGCGAAGGTGCTAGGGGAGGGCAGGGAGAAGGGGCAGGGGGGAGGGACGCATGTTGAGGGGGAGGGAGGCGGGGCAATGGGAAATAGGCACTAGGAAGGGGAGAGGTTGGGATAAGGGGGGTACAGGGGGGAGGCGAAATGAGAAAGGGCATGTGGGAGGGACAGGGGGAGGGGCAGATGCGAGGGGCAAAGGGAAAGGGTAACGGGAGAAGGTGCAAGCGGAAAGGGACGAAGGGGAGGGGCAAAGGTGAGGGGCAATGGGAAGGGGCAACGGGGATGGGCAGAGGGAAAGGGGCAAGCGGAGAGGTCGTACCTAGCTCCATGATGAGCGGCGTAACGAGCGACATGGCCATGCCCACTGCACACAGGTCCAGGAACACGACGACCAATATCACCACGCCACGTGGCACGCCCTTCTCTGCACTTGCAGCTAGTGGTAGCCCCTCCCTTCCCCCCTCCTCTCCCGTTACAATCTCCTGCCCGTCTCCGTCCGGATTACTGCTCGTCCCGTCATTATCTCCAGTCATTGCTATATGGATGCCTAATTGTATGCTTTCTACCGATTGTATGCTCCTGCCTAAAGCGATTTGCTTGTGTAGCTCTGATACTCTCAAGCTTCGAGGGGAAGCCATTGCTATCCCTAATGGCTGACACGAAGGGAAACAGTGAACAACTTGAGATTGGAATGACACGCACACACAAATGACACTGATTGCAATGAACAGCACAACATAACATGAACGATCAGGGGTAGGAAGACTGGCAAGTCAGCTGGTGTCTGCTGATGCCTTGCCAGCATTCCTGCCCCTGATGCTTTCACCTATTCTAGTTACTCCCCACGAATCTAAGCAAATCTAATCCAGACCTACACAAAGGCGGCTGAGAAGCCCTCAGGACAATCACAACCACAACAGCAGCAACCTGCATGCGCTTGTTCACCATGAGCCTAGCTCACGCCACAAGCATCCTCGCGGCACTGATGCAACAAGCAACAGCGTTTTCAGCCTGCATCAGCCTGGGTTGGGTTTACACCCCTCAACGCTGTCACCCAGCCATCGATTAATCAAACAGCGGCAGCGGCAGCAGCACGGCAGTGGAGCATTAACTCAAACAGCAGCAGCGGGCATCTTGCCGCCCATGAGCTGCCCGCCCCACGTCACACCTGCTGCGGTGTTGCCAGCCAGCACAGCATACCCGCTCACCGTGCTGTTCACTCCGCCATCGCCACCTGGAAAGCCACCTGAGAAACCACCTGCAGGCGGCTGCTGCGCTCCCCCCTGCTGGTGCTGCTGCCCCCGCTGCTTCTGTCCCCCCTGCTTCTGCCCCCCCTGCCTGGCAGCGCGGCCGAAAGCGCGCATCAGCAGCTCCCGCCCCATGCGCCTCCCGCCCTGCCCGTTCCGCGCGCCCCCCGCGCTGCCTCCGCCAGCGTTGCCTGCGCCGTTGCGCCCGCCGCCGCTGGTGGGTGGAGGCGAGGCGGAGGGGAGCGCGGCGAGCAGCGCGTCGAGGGTGGCGGCGTCCGCGTTCTCCACCAACGCGTCGAGGCGCGCCGCTGCGTGCAGCAGCCACCACCCCGTGCGCTGCTGCCAGTCCGCTGCGGCGAGCGGCAGCGCGAGGACGGCCGTCGCGGCGGCGTCGCACACGGCGCCCTTCATGATCGCGAGCAAGTCGGGCGGACTGCTCGCCGCGTCCACCAGGAGCGCCTTGACGAGCAGATTGTAATTGCCGGTGGCGTTCCTGAGAGAGGGGAGAGGAGGGTGGGAGGGGAGGGTAAGAGAGGGGGAGGGGTGGGAGGGCAGGGGAATAGTGGAAGACGCAATGAGGTCGACGATCAGAAGCAGCTGAGAAGCTCGCGGGCATTCTACCACGGGTAGATGAGGGATGCGCGCAGAAGCGAGTGCTAGTAACTTCGATCATCGACCGGAAACGGAATAAAGGAAAGCGCACAGTGGATTAGGGTTTGCTTCCGATGTGAAACGACAAAGTTGAAGGCAGCGAGCCCTACTTGAAGACGGCGAGGTGGAATCGGCCGTCGAGGATCGTCTGATCCGCGGTGCAGTTGGCGAGCCGCGCGCCGACATTGGCCGTCAAATTCCCGACGGCCGTCAGATTCAGCGGAGGCCCGTGTGGTCCGCCGGGCCCGCCAGGCCCTCTGGGACCGTTGGGACCTCCGGGACCGCCAGAACCAGCGGAACCGGCGGAACCGGCGCCAGGGCCTCCGCGCTGACCGCCAGGAGGACCTCCGCCAGGCGGACCACGCTGCGCCAAGGCGGACGTCGACACGAGGAGGAGGACGCACGAGAGGTTGAGCGCTCTGACTGCCATGGTTGGTGTTGTGCTGCGATGGATGCAGCGTCGAGAGATGGTCTTCTGCTGTACAGGCTGTCGCTCTGGTTTAGAGCAGTTTGGGTGAAGTCGGTGAAATAGAAGCTGTCGGTGAGTGTTAAGAATGTTAGGAAAATCAATGGCTACTTATAGGCAAGTATTCCGTAGGTTGAGAGACCCGAGTCAAATCCTGGCATGGGAAACCCCAGAAACTGCAGCAGCAAACGAACGCGTTGAAAATGTGCGACGCCTTTCAATGCTTCAGTCAGCACTAATGGAAGGTCAGCCAGGCAGATAGATCGATTTTGGTCGGTGCAGTACTGACGCAGTGATTCTTTTAGAATGAAGGTTACTATACATTGCAATACTATGATAAGCTACCATCCCTGGATGACTTAAAGAATGCATCGAGGGGGTACCAATGTTGTGCGGTTTTACTTGTTAAGTGCATACCGTATTTATCGAATTAGCTTAACAGATAAACACATGTGTGAAACGAGCTTGGGCCTACAAGGTGCCCCATTTGTTCCAAGTTCAGAGTGGCTTTGTTTAAGTTCATAACCCAGTGACCTAAGTAGTAGTACATTAGGCAGCATATCTATTGTCCATCTGACCTAGTTGCCATATCCCTGTAGTAGGTTTCCATCACACAGAAAGAGTGCTGACCTATGTCCCACTGTTGTGTACTCAATGGTCTCCTCACTATTCTGTTACACGTTCGACCGTACCATCATGCATTGACCGTTTGTCTCACACATCAACCAACTGCTTCACGACCGCATGTTTCCGTCTCTTGTTACCAGCATCTTGGCTAGTCTTGTACGATTGATGAGATGAACAGCACTAGGCATGCGACGCATATGCCTCCAGCTGAAACTTCGCCACCCTTTGTGAACAAAGTCGATAGGAGGAAGGTGGAGAAGCGGGCTTAGGAATCGGCACATGAACAAGTGTAAGGGGGGGAGATGGGAGGGAAAGAGGGGTGGCACAGTAGGCATGAGACGACCATAACACCTGAGGGGGGCTCATGAGGTTATATCCTCAAGCTGTTGCTCGTGCCTCGGGCAGGGAAGGGAGTTGGGCACACGAGGGGGCAGGACAGACAGTGACCTGCCGAAGCTGTTTCACACCAACCAATCCAGCGAGAGCCCAGAGCCAATGCAAGTGCATGGTGGGGAGACGATGGGATGATGGGCGATGGGGTAAAGGGGTGACCGGGTGGTGGGATCATGGGGTAATGGGATGACGGGGCGGTGGAATCAAGGGGCAGTGAGATAAAGGGACTGTCTTCTCCGCATTGAACGGGTGGACACACGAGACAATGGGGTGCCAATGGCAGTGGTGTCCCACCAGGTGATGTTTAGAGTCGACTCAAATCAGGGTGGACACAAGAGGCAATGAGGTGCCAATGACAGTGGGTAGCGCACCAGGTGACAAATGAGAGCGCAGGCCTGATTCGGTAGAGGTAAGTTTGATAAGGCACTTCTGACCCCGGTGCAGAGATGAGTTATCGCTGATCCGTGGGTGAGCGTGGAGACGGCAGGGGATGGATGCTATTGGCCTGACCATGCACACCTGTTGGGTGGTTGAAGAAGGGTGGCAAGAGAGTGAGGCGGGTGCAAGATAAGGGGATTGGAGCAGTGCGATGGCCGCATCGGTTCAGTTTGAACCTCAGTTTTGACTGAATTCGATTGAACTGGTTGAATTTGACAAACGGACCGGTCGACCCAGTTGGGGTACTTGCTCAACCCTACCCCAGACCCATCAGAGACTAACCTGAGACTGACCCGAGACTGACCTGAGACTGACCCGAGACTGACCTGGGACTGACCCGAGACTCACCTGAGACTGTCCTGAGACTGACCAGAGACTGACCTGAGACTGACCTGAGACTGACCTGAGACTGACCTGAGACTGACCTGAGACCGACCTGCTACTAACCTGCTGCTAACCGCAGGTTGCCAGTCAGTGCGCCCACGCTGTAGGGGAGAGGGAGGCCAAGGGGAGGGATAGTGCCTTGGTAGTGAGTGCGCCCCCGCCCTGGGAGCAAGCGTCCGTGGCATGGCAGCACACTAGAAGTTTCTCCGGCGGTCTCTTGTTGTCCGCTGCTGCTGCTGCAAGTTGTTGAGCTGGCAGGCAGGAGAGGCGAGGCCAGAGAGAGAAGAAGGGGGTCAGCACGAGAGAGAACTGAGTGACAGACAAATGTTGAAGCGCAGTGATAAGCGGGCGGGGCAGGAGGAGAGACAGTATGAATGAACTAGTGAATGCACAGACGAGAGGGACATGCCAAGAAACCTAAAAGCACGGAGCATAAGTCTGAGCCACCCACCTGAGTAGTGTCCATGACTTCAACTTCCCTCAGCATGTAGCTTGCTGCGTTTCAATGTCACTCAAGGTGCAGGTGAAGCAATCATTGGAAACCGCAGAAGATTAGCAGCACCAGACCTACAGCTTGACTCCAAACTTCTCCTCAAACTGCTTGTCTGAACAGTGGATGAACTGGTGCAAACACACCATTCTCCTTTTCACCTCCACGTTCACAAGCTGTTGCTCTGTAGCAGCTCTCCCCCTTAGCTCGCCACTGCCTAAAAGAGCCCCAAGTGGCGCTCCACTCTTTCTTTCTTCCGTTCCCCATTCAATCCCCTCTACTCCCTCTGCTTTGTTAGACACGAAATCCAGCTCGCTCCTCTGTTTCCCAGCTTCGACTGGAACATCCTTGTCTCCAACACCCGTCCGACTGGCCATCTTGCGTGCCACAACGGCATAGCCCAACCGCACCAGTGCCACATGCCGCGGTCTGATTCGCCGATTCAAACTCAACCCAAGAAAGGGCGGGTAGGCAAGCACCTCCATTATAGAGAGCCCCATGTCCCGTTTCAGGTACTCCACCTTGTGCTTCAGGTTCGTTTTCCAGCTGCAGTGGAGAGACAACGGGTACCTAACAACCAGATCCACCACCAACCGATGGGCCCTGCATCTCTCAACACTTCGTGCTCGAAAAAAAAAACCCCCTTCGAAACAATTACCTCTATCACCTTCCCCCAGCCTTTGCCTCCCACTTCCCTCTTCTCCACTGCTCTGCAATGCTTCTTCAACTTCTCGCACAAGCTCTCTGAAAGATTCCCTCATGGCATCTTCACTAGAAATGAATAACGAAGGAAATTGTGCCACCACCCGCATAGCATTTTCTCGGCCGATCAAATCAGTCAACACCGCCATCTTGCCTTGCAGATTCTCCTTTGAAAACAGAAGAACCACAGGGTGACTCCTCACCACCCTTCCTATTGCCTCCTCCCCCACCTTATCCACAAAGAACTGGAGCTTAGTTAAGAGAGTTTCTTTGCTGAAACTGAGGACGTTGGGGGCACGACGGAGCACAGAGCTTGCAATGGAGGGGGTGTCTGGGGGAGTGAAGGACTGGAGAATGCGGATCTTCTCTGCAATGCTGTGGGGCGAAAGACCAAGGATGGGTGGAAACTTCAGGATGAGCCTGGTTAGGTGGTTCCTGTCCTGATGTTGCTCATTTAGTCGCTGCTTCAGGAGGCCTGTGCTGGAAGTATCAGCTTCTACCTCCCTTTCAGATCCCGCCGTAAAATAAGCTGATAACGTCTCAAGCTGAGCACTCACCGTCTCTTTGTTCTGAGTCAAGATGGACGGACATCTCTCTATAATCACACCCAGCTTGCCCACAAGAACACCTGCTTTCTCCACCAGAATGTCCAGGTTCGTTGAACGTGCCTCCCTGCAGAGTAAGCGCAGTCCACGTTGGAGCACCGAGCCCAATCTGCTACGGCAAACGCCTTTAGCTAAAAGCAACTCAATCATATTCTGGATCTGTGGCAGGGAGGAGCGGAGCCAGGCTGGATTTCTCACAGTGATATGCACGATATCGGCATCAAATATGCCGTATGACTGGAGGAGATGGATACGTGGCAGCAAATCATTGGTGGGATTGGAGCGGAGGAGTTGGGGGGTGGAGGCGAGGAGGGAAGCGACAGTGGAAGGGGAGGAGATGCCGAGGTGGGAGGAGAAGAAGTGGTAGAGGGAGAGGAGGGCAGAGGGAGATACGACCCGCCGGCTGAACAACAGAGGAGGGTGCGTGGGAGGAGATGTGTCGGGTGGTGTGTCCTCCTCACACGTCTCAGCTTCTGCATCCTCCTCATCCTCCTCTTTTTCCGCCTCCTCATCGTCCCCTTCCCACCCCTCCTCCCCCTCCTCTTTCACTTTCCCCACCCCATCTTCGCCCTCCCTGCTTCTTATCCCACTCCCCCACTCCACCTCCTCGCTCACTATCTGAGGCCCGAATTTCTCCCTCAGCACTCCAGCAATCACTGCCACTGCCTCCTCCTCCTCCTTACAGCCTCCCGTCCCGTAGCTCTTCCTCTTGCCTCCCTCACTGTTACCCACTCCATTCCCCTCTGCATTCCCAGCAGTATTCCCCGCAGCATTCCCCGCTGCATTCCCCGCTGCATTCCCCGCTGCATTCCCCGCCACTACCCTCTCAACCCTCTCATCCGCACCCCCCTTTTCTCCCCCTTCCACTTTCCTGATGCTCCTCTGTCCTCATCCCTTATCCCCCGCGCCAGCCTCACGGCTCTTGGCCTTCACAAAACCGCAGGGGGGGACCCGACCGATAGCCGTGGGCGAATGCCTTCTTCGCATAGTGGCCAAGGCAGCACTGTTCCTGACTGGGGCGGCGGCACGATCACACTTCGCGCCTCTACAGTTCGGGGTCGCAGTGGCTGGAGGGATTGAGGCGGCCATTCACACTGTGCGCACATACCTGGAGGAGAACCCGGGCTCGGTGGCGCTACAGATTGACCTCGCCAACGCGTTTAATGCGGTGGAAAGGGCGGTGGTATTCGAGGGGCTCAAGAACGAGTCCCTTGAAAGCCTTCTGCCCCTTGTCCGCCTCTCCTACGGAACTCCCTCAGCACTCTACCTCGACCATGACTTCGGCGTGGCTCCACTGCTAAGTGCTAGAGGCGTCCGCCAGGGGGACCCTCTTGGCCCCTTGCTCTTTGCGGCAAGCATCCACCCACACCTTACCGCAACGGCACTAGCTCACCCAAGGGTCGTCATTCTCGCCTATGCAGATGACATAACGCTGCTAGGCGAAGCAGAAGCGTGCACGACGGCATTTACATACCTCACTGCCACGCTGATCCGCATAGGCCTCGAGCACAACCTTGGGAAGTGTGAGGCTTGGTCTGCAACCGCCATAGACCCCGCCTCTCTCCCTCCGAGCTTCCCCATTGCAGCAGACGGACTGCGGATATTAGAAAGCCCAATCGGGACCTCAGATGGCTGTGCCGCCAGAGTAAGGGAAAGGCTTGCAGTAGCAGCAGAACCCTTGCCGCTCCTGGCCGAAATGGACCCCCAATTGTGCCTGCTGCTACTCACCCGCTGCGTGGGCCGGCGAGCATCCTTCCTGGCCAGAACCACTCCGCTAGAGGCACTACCTGAGGATGAATGGGCGGCATGGGGGGAGCAACTGCTGCATACCTTCCTGGACGCGGCCCATATCATGCTGCCAAGGAGTGACGCGGAACAGAGGAGAATCTGGAGGCAAGCGGCGCTGCCCGTAACATTGGGGGGGCTTGGCATTACAAATCGTGCAGTTGAAGGGAGCTATGCGTACCTTGCGTCGGTGGTGGGCACCTCCCACTTACTGCACTCCCTGGCCGAGGCACTCCACCCAGATGTAGCAGCCCTCCTCCCCCTAATGGACCCCACATCAGGCTCCGCGCACGCCCTGCCTGCACGCCTTGCAGCAGCGGAAGCAGCCCTCCCCCCCGAGGCTCTAGAAGCTCTCCAGGCCGGCAAAGCAGACCCACAGGGCCTCAAGCTGCAGCAGTCTCTAGCGCTGGCGGTTCAGACACGCCGCTTCCTGAGGGTCATGAACGAGGCAAGGCGGATGCGCCCCAACCCCCTCTCTGGCCATGCCCAGAGAATGCAGCCGGTGCTCGGCCCTGGTGCGGGAGATTGGCTGCTGGCACTACCCATCATACCCTCGCTTAGGATGGGACCCTCCCAGCTCTCCTCCGCTGCTGCGTTCCGCCTGGGCCTCCCCCTACCTGTCCCCAGGCGCTGCGACTACCGCTACCGCACCAAATTCCCTGATGACCGCCTCCCAAACCATCTCATGCGCTGCGAGAAAGGGGGGGGAAGGATTGCGACTCACCATGCGCTCAGGGACGAGATTGCTTTGATTGCGGCAGAGGCGGGATTCACGGTGCACAAAGAAACCTATATATACTCTCTCGTTGAAAACCTGAAGGCGGACGTCGCAATCCGCCATCCCCGGACGGGAGAAGTTTGGATGTGCGACGTGACAGTGACGGACCCCGTTTCTCACCAAGATGAGAACTGCAATAAAGCACCGGGGTGGGCGGCTAGGGCAACTGCGGACAAGAAGGAGCAAAAATACGCGCGCCGGATATGAAATACACATAAATACACAGCACAGCACAATGGCGCAGTCACGACCAGCACAGGGCAGCCGATGCTGACCAAAAAAGGTGCGGGCACAGAAGAAGGCATGGGGAGGCGGGAAGGCGTGTGTGGAGATGAAAAAGGATGACGCTTGAGGGGCTTGAGGAACACGGCGCTCACCGTAGGGTCACTGGCCGCCGTAGTTCCCCAGTGGTAGTAGTGGCACGCCCACACGTCTGTACCCGTGCCACACGACGCCTTCGCACAGCCCAGCTTGCGCGTGTTGTTCCAAATGACCTGCGTGTAGTGCCCACACTTGGCCCAGTTGCCCCCCGCACAGCCGTCGTGGAACATGGCCACGGTGTACCACTGCCCCTCGTTCACCCACCACCCCGATGCGTCTGCGCCCGTCTTGACCCCCGAAGGGCTGGAGGAGGCAAGGTTCTGCCCCTCGCTGTCATGCCCGCCATGCACGATGGAGCAGTTTTACGACGTATTGGTCAGCGCTGTCGCCCATGCCTGCGCGTGCTCCGCCACTGGGGGGGAAAGGCAGATGGGGGAAGGGGAAGAGAGGTGATGAGAGGGACAGGAGGGGTGATGCATGGTGGTGGTGGACCGTGATGTGCATGGCATGTGCATGGCATGTCCGCCCGAGAGGCATTCGTAGGAGAGGAAAGCACAATGATGCATGCCTGCATGCACTCATGCATCAGTCTGCTTTCGCTGCCACACAGGCACCACAAGGTAGTGTAACGATGGGAAGAAGGGGAAAGAAGCTCACTCACTCTCACTCACCTGCGTCATCCCACACGAGTGGCACGGCCCCCACAGCAGCACGGGCGTTGTTGTGAACGTCGAGGTAGTCCGAGTGGGCGAGGTCGGCCGAGGAGCACACGTTGTCGATGAGACGTGCAAATGGTGCAGGGCACTTGCACACCGCTGTACCGAACTGCACCACACACGTGGATACGTCCGGACACTTGACCCCGTAGCATGCGTCTGAAAAGGGAGGGGGGTGTGGGGGAGGGATGCGGAGGAAAGGGTGTGAACGAGCACTTGGCATTGTTGCTACTACCTGGGCAGGAGAACTGGTACTGTAGCAATCACCTGGGCAAGAGCGCATGACGATGTTGCAATCATCTGAGTAGGACACTCAGCTCTGTTACCATCACCTGAGTAGGATTACGCATCTTTGTTGCAAGCACCTGATCAAGAACACTTGGCTCTGCAGCAATCACCTGAGCAGGAGCACTTGGCACTGTTGCAATCACCTGGGCAGGAGCACTTGGCAATGCCAGTGGAAGATGAGCAGTTGCAGTTGGATGGGCAGCTGACGATCTTACACATGTCCACCTCTGGTGTGGGGGGTGAATGGGCACGAGGGGTGGCGGGAAAGGGACGGGAAGGGGTGTTTGCGCACTTGAAAGGCACTTGTAGTTGTTGACGAGTGCCTGGCCTGCAACACACACGCAGAGGGGCTTCTTGTCCACCACCGTGCATGTGGCCGTGGACAGACACTGCACTCGGTAGCACGGGTCTTGCACTGCCGGGGGGGGGGGGGGGGGGGGGGGCAGGGCGAGGGGGGGGGGTTGGAGACGGGAGGGGATGGGGGAAGCAGATGTGGAATGCTGAGAGAGATGCGGGTTGGAAGGGTGAGGGCATTGAGTACAGCCCATGGGCCACAAGCACTGCACAGCACCGCACCGCACAGCACAGCACAGCACAGCTGAGGGACTCGGTTCTCGGTTGGGAAAACAGACGGTTGAAGCTCGCACTTCATCATGCCTGCAGCCCAGCACCCCGGCACAGCCACCGGCGCAGCCACCACAGGGCAGCTGGTGACCAAATGAAAGGCGTGGAGGCAAGGGGTGTGTAGAAGAGCATGCATAGAGAGTTGATGCGCTTGCGATAGAGGGTGCTCACCGAAAGGCAGATGGCCGAACCCGTTGCCGGGCGGGTAGTAGTGGCACGCCCACACGTCGGCAGTGGAGCCTCCCCCCCACACGGCTGCACTGGGTGCGCACGATGCCTTGGCACACCCCACCTTGCGCGTGTCGTTCCACACCAGCTGCGTGTAATGCCCACACTTTTCCCACCCGCCCTCACAGCTGTTGGGAAAGACATCTACAGAGTACCACTGCCCCTCGTCCACCCAGAAGTGCACTCCCCTTGCATTCAATGCCCACCCTGAGGGGGCGGTGACAACAAGATTCTGCCCCTCGTTGTCATGCCCGCGGTGCACGACGTAGCACTTGTTGCTGGCGTTGGTCAGCGCTGTCGCCCATGCCTGCGCGTGCTCCGCCACTGGGAGCAAAGGACGAGGGGGGAAGGGAAGGAGAGGTGATGAGAGGCGATGCATGGTGGTGGTGGACTGAGATGGGCATGGCATATGCATGGCATGTGCATGGCATATGCATGACATGTGCATGACATGTGCATGACATGTGCATGACATGTGCATGACATGTGCATAGCATATGCATAGACATGACTCACATGTGTCGTCCCACACTCACATATGTCGTCTCACCACATGTGTCGTCTCACACTCACATGTGTCGTCTCACACTCATATGTGTCGTCCCACACTCACATGTGTCGTCCCACACTCACATGTGTTGTCCCACTCGAGTGGCACAGCTCCCACGGCAGCGCGGGCGTGGTTGCGCATATCGAGGTAGTCGGAGTGGGGGAGGTCGGCCGACAAGCACGCGTTGTTAATGAGGCGCGTGTAGGGCGTGGGGCATTGGCACACCGCTGTACCGAACTGCACCGCACACGTGGACACGTCCGGATACTTGACCCCGTAGCATGCGTCTGAAAAGGAAGGGGGTGTGGGGGAGGGATGTGGAGGAAGGGGTATGAAAGGGCACTTGAGCAGGAAGGGGTGTCAACATCTAGATCGAGATCACCTGAGCAGGAGCACTTGGCACTGATGCAATCTCCTGGGCAGGAGCGGATGACGATGTTGCAACTACCTGAGCAGGAACACTCGGCTCGGTTGCAATCACCTGGGCAGGAGCACTTGGCAATGCTAGCGGAAGAGGAGCAGTTCCATTTGGCAGGGCAGGAGACGTTCTTACACATGTCCACCACTGGTGTGGTGTGGGGGGGTGGGCAAGGGGGGTGGGGAAACGGGTGGCGGGAGAGGGAGTGGAAGGAGCATGAAGGCAAAGGTGAAAAAGAGACGAGCAACGGGGCGAATGAGAACAAGAGAAGGACCTGTGAAAGAGCAGGGGCAGGGGTGTGAGGAGAAGGGGTGTGAAAGAGCACTTGGCACTATTGCTACTACCCGAGCAGGAGAACAGGCACTGTAGCATTCACCTGAGCAGGAGCGCATAGCGACGTTGCAACTACCTGGGCAGGAGCACTTGGGAACGCCATCGGAAGTGGAGCAGTTGCATTTGGCAGGGCAGGTGACGTTTAAACAGATGTTTCTTGCTGGTGGGGGAAGTGAAGGGGAAGGGGGGTGGGGAAAGGAGCATGAAGGCACAGGTAAATGGATGCCGGGGGAAGAAATATGATGGGCGAATGAGAACAAGAGAAGGACCCGTGCCGCTCACCCTAGCACTGCTCGTTGACCTTGGTGTAGCCAACCACGCAGTTACACGTGGCGCCAGTGCTCTCCCCCACACACACCGAGTTGGCCGGACACGCAGTCTCACACGCCCCACTGCCAGCACCCGTGCTGCCCGTGCTACCACAGCACGTGCTGCCCGTGCTACCACAGCACGTGCTGCCCGTGCTACCACAGCACGTGCTGCCCGTGCTACCAGCACGTGCTGCCCGTGCTATGACAGTACCTTTGGGGGCGGTGGCGGTGAGGCACGACATGGACAACGCTTTCGCCACCACACCCGCTGCCACCCTGGTGGGGGGGGTACGGTGGACACATGGGCGAGCGGAGGAGAGGAGGAGGAGGGCAGGGTACGGCTATGGCATGGGTACAGAGGGAGCAGAGGGCAATGGCATGGCAGAGGGAGCACAGGGCAATGGCATGGGTACAGAGGGAGCACAGGGCAATGGCATGGGTAGAGGGAGCACAGGACAATGGCATGGGTAGAGGGAGCACAGGGCAATGGCATGGGTAGAGGGAGCACAGGGCAATGGCATGGGTAGAGGGAGCACATGGCAATGGCATGGGTAGAGGGAGCACAGGGCAATGACATGGGTAGAGGGAGCAGAGGACAACAGAAGACGCTGGCAGCACAACAGTTGAATGCGGCACACTCACCTTAAGTTGACCTTTGACGATTTTCAGACCTATTTGAAAAATGATAGTTGGAAGGTGTTGGGAGGTGTTGGGAGGGATAGCCAAGTGGAATCCCAAGCTGGAACATCAACACAATAGTTGGTCACCGAGTGCTGCGCTCTCACTCACTTGCTGGTGGTGGCATAGGTGGTCTTGGCCGCATCAGCCTTCTTCCACCCGGCCGGCACCTCAAAGGCCGACGACGAGCCGCTCCAGTCGCTCTGGTTCCAAAACAGCACCTTCCCGCACATTACGCGGCTAAAGCCGCTGCTCTTGTCCTTCACGCTCCACAGGATGCGCAGCGACCCCACGGCGCCCGCACCGCACGTGGCGCGGGCAGGTTCATGCACGTGCGGTTAGGGATGGCACCGCGCAGCACGACGGGTGACGCTGGGACGTACTTGGCGGTAGCGAATAATAGCACGCTCGTCGCCACCACCTGCCCGTCCATGGCTGGCCGGGGGGAGGGGGGTTGGGAGATCAAGGAGGGGGTGAGGAGATTAACTCTACAACGGTAGTGAGCTAGACTACAGGGGTTGGCACGAACTACTAGAGGTGATCTTAGCTTTGCAAGAGTTTCCACTAGCAAAGTTGGAATTCCAGAATTATGCAAGCAGCAATGACAACAATTACTACATCAGGCACCTAGCAACCCTGCAGCTAGCCTAGTCGACCGCCAACGCAGCTCGGTCGACCGCCTGCCAGCACTGCGTAGAGGAGCCGCGCCAGCATTGCAGAAGGGCGACCTGCCAACAAAGCAGGTCGACGGCGTGCCCCGTAGAACACAGCAGTGCGCGCGCTCGCAGGTGTGCGCAGACGATTGGCCCGACTTGCCTCGTTGGGCATCCGTCGGCTGTTGTCTGCGCCTGACGAGCCACATCGACTTCCGGATACCAGCCCGAAGTTGCCTGCGCCATCGCGGTCTCGACGACGTTCGCGTGCCTCCGCAGAACTCGTCGAGCAGGTTACCCGGTCGACCTGGTCGACCCCTGGTGCTCTTGTCGACTCCCAGGTGCCTCCCGTCGACCACTGGGTCCCTCTGGTCGACCACCGGGAGCTCCTGGTCGACCACACCTCCCGTCAAGCTACCCCTTGGTCGACGGACCCCTTCCGTCGACCAGAACTGCTCCGTCGACCTCCCGGTCGAACTGCACTTCGACGGGATGCTCCGTTGTCTTCCCGGTCGAGCTGCAGTTTGACAGGACGCTCCGTTGACCTCCCGGTCGAGCTGCAGCTCGACAGGACGCTCCGTTGACCTCCCGGTCGAACTGTAGGTCAACGGACTGCTTCGTCGACCTCCCGGACGGCTCACCCGTCGCCCAGGCCAGTCAGATGCAGCTGTCGAGCATCCTGGTCGACAGCAACACCACAGCGGTCCGCTGCAGCTCGACGTAACCTGTCGAGAAGCTATCCCACTGTGGGCGGTCGGCTGCTACTCCCGTACATCCGACCAAGTTGTCGGCGTTGCCCAAGCGAGGGCGGGGCCAACACTCCTTTCCCGTTAACAGGGGGGAGAGGGGGGTGGGAGAGCAAGGAGGGGGGGAGGGGTTTAGGAAGAATGGGGCAGGGTCAGGGCGAGAGCGAGAGAAACGCTGGAGCGGGAGTTGGGTGGTGAGAGAAAAGGATGGGGGGGGAGGGGGGGGGGGGGGGGGGGGGGGGGGGGGGAGCCAGCATGGGGAGCATGAGCCGTTGATCTCACCTGGCACACACGAGCCATTGATCTCACCTGGCACATACGCGCCGTTGATCAGCGTGAGGGTCCCGTTGTACTTACAGAAGGGGAAGTTGCTGCTGTCCTCGGCGCATGCCGCGTCCTGCGGGCACGACACGTTCATGCACGCCACGATGGCTGTGGCGGCCCGGGTGGGCGCGGACAGGCGGACGGAAGGTTGGAACGGGGAGAGGAGGGGGATGAGCGCGAATGAGAGCGGATTGACTCATTAGGAGCTCAGAGCGGGAAATTTGCACTCCCATTGAACGGGAAAGGGGGGAGGGGAGGGGAGGGGGAGCGGTGGGGTGGAGGGGGGGGGTGAGGGGAGGAGGGGAAGAGCAGGCATGCGAGTCACTAGTACAGAAAACATTTGCAAATGGCGGAAAAAAATAAATGGTGGGGAACACGGATCGAACGCGGCACAAGTGCCGATTATCGACGATGGCTCACCAGGCAGGAGCTTGGGCGGCGCCAGGGGCTTCTTCGCGAACAGCTTTATAAGCCGCCAATGGTACGGACCGTGCGACACCGTCGCAGGATCCTCTACTAACCGCATGTGCGACCTAATTGTGACAATCGCGTCGCCGAATGTTGAGCGAAGGCCAATGGCAAGAGTGGCCGACGCGCGGTGTTGGGAGAGGAAGGCGGAATGAAGCAGGAGGGCGAGGAGAAGGGGGAGGAGGAGGGGGAGGCGGGAGAATGCGAATGGATTCATCATGCGCGCGCGCGTAGGTGCGGTGATGGGAGAAGCACGATTTGCGGGGAGGCGATATTTGCGGGAAAGCGCAGATGGTGGAGACGCGGGAAAGGAGAAGAACGGCAAAATCCTGAATTGGTGATACCGGAGCAGCATTGCCATGCTAAAGTACCGCGAGATAAACTGTGGGGATGAGTTGGCAGAGGTAGGAGTGGAAGTGAGGAATCAACAAGAAATTGTATCTCGTTTTGTTTTCGTATTCCGAACTGTTGGCGATTTGTTGTTGGCAGGAGAGTGGCTGTACTGTCAACAAAGCTGAAATAGGTTGGGTTGGAAATACAGTCTTGCTGCGCTAAGCAATGTGGAGTGGAGAAACAAAGAAATGAAGGAATTATTTGATGGGATTCTATAGAAAGAAGAAAACCAACAAGGGCTACAGCTCGCACTGAGGGTGTAGAAGAATGCGGTGCAGGGAACGAGATGAAAGCTCCCCGTTAATATAGGGACGGGTGATGTAAGCACATGCCACCCCGCCCGCCCTGGCACAAATGGCATTTGAGGTAAAACGAATAACCCCCAAAATCCCTCCAGGCCCCCGGAAATTCCCGGCTGACCAGACCAAAAAACCCTCCGAAACCCGCGGATTCAATGTCGTATTCTTATGATAATATATATGTCAGCCATAATAATGGAAATTGAGGGACATTTATCGAGCACTGCTCGACGGACATTGGCCAATCGCCGTCGAGCTCTGTGCACCCCCGACAACACTGGTTACACATGGTGGCATGTCAATCGCCTACACGGTGGCGCTATTGTCAATCGCAATCGACTCTGACGTCAACTGCGGTCGACCTTTCGCTTCGTCGGTCGAGCGAACTGTCGCTGTCGAATGGGCGACGGGTTACGTCAGACGCAATCAAACGGTCACGTCAGCTGCTGACGACCACGTCAAATGTAACAGTCTTGAGAGCATCTTCACAGGGAGGAACATCAGCCCAAACACGGTATAAACCTAAATCGAGAGTTGTAGCACCAGAGTTTTTCCTGTAGGCCGGGCGGGGTATAGGGAGAAATGGTAGCTTTTGGTGGGCAGTGATGGAGAACGATCCGTCGACGACAGCGCCTTCCCGACAAGCGGACGTAGGATGGATACATGTCGGCATTGGATCCATCTCGACACCACCCCCTTCGACGTGTGGAGCCAGGCCGGTCTCTTCAGCGTCCCCTTCGACGACGCGAGCCATACCGGTCGTGACAGGGCCCACCTCGAGGACGCGAGCCATCCCGGTCGTGACAGGGCCCACCTCGACGTCGCGAGCCATACCGGTAGTGATTCAGCCGGTTGTTATGGACCAGCGTTCGACGGGTATTGCGGTTACTGTCGAAGTGGGTGGTGCACAGACCGAAGTCACTTCGACGTCGCAATCCATACATGTAGTGGTAGAACCCATCTCGACAACAAACGCACCCTTAACATACGAGGAACCATCACCTCACCATGCACCATCGTCGACACCCAACTGCTCGACGGAACCTTCAGCTGGTGCACCGGCCTCGACAGGTGGGCGATGTAGGAGAGCCTCTGATGTTCCGCCTGCGGTTCGACCACCACCCCCAGCCGGCACAACCGCTTCTCTAGCCACCCCCGCCGCTCATAGGCGCACTTCGACAAGACCAAGCAGAGCGGACTTAGCCAGAAACGTCCCCGAAGCGACGGATGATGAGGATGATCAGACGGGAGAACAGCAGGAGGCGGACGATGTCGAACCGCCGGTTCGTCTGCGCCCTGCCGCGGCAAATATATCAGAAGAGGATGCCGCGCACATTCTCGGCGACCAGTAGGGCGCAAACAATCCGTTCTTGGCGACGGGAACACTTCAAAGCAAGATTCATTGTTATGAGATTCCGCTGCTGGGAGTTGACCAGGATTCCACACTGCCAAATTATGTCTCTGGATTCATGCACTACAAAGCTTGGGCCTGTAAAACTCTGGCGCCCGGAAAAAACAACGGAGTGCCTAAAGAGGAGCAGGTGATCCACGAGGACGAGCTTGGGAGGGAGATCGACGACGATGTGGGGCCGAGATGGAGGGAGGCGCTCCGTAACGAGGAGCACCTGCATGGGCTGAAAACGACGAAATGGCGCTTGTGGGCGTACGTCGAATACATGTCGACTGAAACCAACCAACATGCAGCTTCCTTGGATACAGGCCAGACCAGAGTCGCCGGAAGGAAGCCGAAAAAATGCACCCTACCGATGATGCTGGCGCGCCTTATTGCGCTGACGTGCTTGTGCAGAGTAGAGGCCATACTCTTCGACGCGCCACTCACAAAACCCTTGGGCGACATCACCGAGGCCCGGCAGCTTCTTGCGGTCAAGCTGCGACAGCTGCACGACTTTCAGTTCGAGTAAGTAGCCTACCCTACACCGGTGACTAAAACTTCTCACTCACATTCTCACCCATGAATCGCTATATCATCCCACTCAATGCAGGCAGTGCGTCGATCCACACCGGGGCTTGCTCGATGATGTTTTCACAGAGGAGCAGTTCCGCATTCTTGTTTCAGACATCCTGCCGCACTTGGCCAAGGAGTACTTCCGGGAGTCGATGGGGTACCCCAGTCAGTCGCTGTGTAGGGCCTTGGCTGTGAGGGTGATGATCCTGATGGCGCATCACATGCTGGGCAGGGGGATAAGCATCCGCGAGATCCGCTGCTGCAATATGTTCACTCAAGTCCTTCCGACCATCACGAACAGCAAGGGGGAATCGTCGATCCTCGTTCTCGTCGTCGCCTATCGCAACTTGAAGACCATCAAAGACAACAAGCTCGGCCACCTGTACCTGACTCGACACATTGACTTCCGGCAGTGCGGCTTCGGAGCAATGTTCATGTGGATACACTTCCTTTTCGAACTTGTGCCGCTCCACTACAACAACGAAAAGATTGTGGCCCCCTTGGATTTTAGCAATCTGGAAGCGTGGTCGAAGAAGCACCTGTTCTTCGCCCTCTACGACAAGGACAAGACCGAGTTGCCGTACGTGACTCACAACAAATGGGTGACCTGGGCGATGAAGAGCGCGGAGTGGATCCTGTCGAAAGTCACACACATCTTTCAACGGTCTGGGGCACAGATCCTCGCCGACAAAAACTGTGAGCTCGACACCATCGCGCAGCTGGGTCAATGGGACATGAACGAGATGCGCAGGTCCTAAGTCACAGGCATTCCGCGCCCGGCCATCCAGCTGCAAGCGGGTTTCTCGACAAAACTGGGTGACTAATACATTGGAAGGGCAAAGAGCGAATTACCTGCGAAGGTCTTGAAGGCTATCGAACAGCATATCTTTCCAAAGGCGGAGAAGTGGCTCATCGAAGCATGGGTTTGTCGAGCGCAAAGCTTGATCATCGCACGCAAATTTTGCCAGGGTTTCTTCTCAATGTCACCACGTTTGTTCTGGTCCAGGCAATGGAATGGAACAACAATCAACCCACTTACTGCTCGAGACCTTGTGTGCAGAACGCATCATATCAACTCAACACCAAGCACCTTGTCACACAACTTCGGGCCAAGATCAACCTCCACAAGGAGGAGGGAGGGAAGAAAGAAATCAAGATCAACCACCTCGAGCATAAGGTCGAGTAATTGGAGCGGGAGAAGGGCGCGTTGCAGGCGGAGTCGGAGGCAAAGGATGAGGCTCTCGCACAACTACAGAAAGCGTTCGACGCACTGAAGAAAACCGCGTCGACAAGCGCAGCTGCGAATGTGGGAGAGAGCGAGAGCGTGCCGCAGATGGAAACCAAGGAAGCCACCCCGGCACCACAGCAAGCCCAACATTCAACACCCACTCGACAGAGCGTAGGCTCCCAGCTCGACCAAGCATTATTTGACGCGGTGGTGTGGCCGTGGTGCAATTGCGAGATCGTGCGGCAGGCGCGGTCGTACTGGGATGGGACAAGCCTACTGAACAACGGGCACAAGCTTCGACATGCATGCAAAAAGGGCTTCGCCGTCAAGCTCAACAAGTTCACTCCGACTCTTCCCCCCGTCCCTCCTGAAGCGGAGGACTAGACAAAAGAAAAGCCACCGACCCCAAAAGCTGTCGAGTCGAAATTGCGAAAGATTGAGGTTGTGATGAGGGCCGTTGAGTTGTTCTGGATCGACGACAGCAGTGCGGCTACGTCGACAGTGATCAACAAGCTTGATTCCTTTGTCAAGAAACACTCGATCAACATGCTGGCGGAAGGGCTCATTCTCAATGAGGATTCTGAGAAGTAGCTCACGAAGAAGCGGAAATTCGAGTCCAAAGAAGAAAACCAGAAGGACAAAGCCCGCCTCAGGATCACGCGGGAGCTCATTCTCGTGCAGCTCTGCATCGCAGAATGGGCGGAGATGGTGTTCAAGGACAAATGGAAAGAGTTCATGAAAACATTGGGCGAGGGCCCGAGTTCGACGGGCAACCGTGACGAGGGGGGAACCTAGAGTAGGTTGTTCTTTCAGAGTTTGCATGGCATCTTTTGATTCCTGAGCGACCATCTCGTCTAGATGAACCTATTAAGCATTATCGAAAACGTAAAGTCAAGAACCATCAAACATGTACATCCTGTCGATCAAACTTTGGACACAACAAACACAACCGTCGAGAGATGCAAACAACCCCACGCAAACTGCCCGCCTATACTACTCCCCTTGCCCGCCCATTTCCGTATCCGCTGCATCTTCGTCGCCCAGCTTTGCCTTGCTCTTTTCTTCTGGCATAGCCAGGCTGCCATAGCTCGCGTCCTCTAGCAAGCGGGCAGCAGCTCGACAGCATCACCATTGCGTACAGACCTGTGCTGCCACGCGCAGCATCTGCAACAATATGGCGTCTGTCGAGCCAAGATCTTCGACAGCCGACAAATACAGCTGATCGGGCCACTGCTTCACCGGGAACGTCTTGCCGACGTGCAAAAGTATGGACACGAGCGCGGAAATGGCAGCCACACAAGCCTTGGTCTCAATCTCCGGGGCGTAGAGCGCAGCTTTTGTGGCAGCTAGAGCATCCTTCTTAATATCCTCCCTCGACAACTTCTTGCAGGCCGCCCACAAGCTCACCATAGTTTTTGCGATGGCCATCATGTGCAGTGTCGCCGCCATGCCCTTCGGGACCGGGTAAATCAGGCTCCCGTGCTTTAGGCCAAGCGTCGCGACCTTACCAATCGCCACGCACAGCGCGATTCCCCAGTCGGTTCCAGCTTTCACTTCCTTCTTTGCCGTCGCCAACAGCGACTGGAAGCTGCACATTGCAACAAATGCGTTAGTTAAGAGGCCAGAATTCGACCGAAAGCACATTCATCGCCGACAGCAAGTCTTCGACAAAACGCTAAAACAGCAAGACTTCGACAGATCAGTCAAACAACATGACTTCGACAGGACTCACTCGTCGAAACGACATTCCCATTGTTCTTGCGCCACGCTCCAAACGTCGGTTGGCATTTCAGCGGCCGCATCAAGGTAGACCTTCCAGTCCTTCTCATCCTGCGCCGTGTACCCTTCGTACTCTGTAAGGACAATGTCGGGGAAGTACACGCGTAGGGTAAACCAGCAGGGTTGAACAAGTAGGGATAGACAAGCAGGGGTAGACAATCAGAGCTATAGATGCAGGCTAGGCAATGAGGCTAAAGCAGCAGGGCTAAAGCAGCAGGGCGAGACAAGGGCTGAACAGGTTGGGTGGATGCTACTGCCGCATTGGCCAGACGGCCGTTGCATCGTGGAAGCAGGTGGAGTTCATATTCAGGTGGAATATGTATGGGCTCCTTCTCAACTGACGGTTGACCCCGATGGACAGCGGCAAGTTGACGATGGTGCGGACTTGGAGGTGAGCCAAGTTAAGTGGGATGGAAGATACCGTCGCCAGCTTGGCAAATTAACAGCCATCGCCGCTCTTTGTTTGTCCCTCCTGCGCCATCTCCTATCCAGGCCCACAGCGAGGTTTCTGGTGCCAATGTGCTGCCAAAGTAGATCAAATATGAGAGCTACTTCTGCGATTGCAAAACCAGCAGGTGCCGTCCACCTCCCCCCTCCTCGTCTAAATTACTCCCCCTTCTTGTTCGCTCTACCCCATGATCCCCCCTCCCCTTTCCACACCAAATGCAGCTTTTGTAGTAAAGTCATGAAGCGCCCAACTCATTTCTACAACACATGGCCAGGCAGCATGGCAGAGCGACTAAGGTACATTACACGAGAAGTGGGTGCACGCAGGCGATGAGGGAGGCGTTGGGGGAAAGATTGACATAGCAGCAGCTGTAGATGTGACTCTGTGTGAATGGCCGTTAGCTGCATTCTGCTCATCGCGTGCTGGTCACCCAGGGAGATTAAGCTCCATGTGAGAAGTTAAAGAGGTGCAAGCACGCACTGCACATGGCATCATCACATGGCAAGAATTTGAATTGATTCTAAGCTACCGGCAGGCAGATTGACGTGGTGGTGCACAGCACATGTGAAAGATAATCAGTAGGCGGAGCTATCTGAAGCTATTTCTCACCCACTCTCTCTTCTTCCATCTTTTGTTGCTGCTCAAACACCTCCCTATGCCTTTGCCTATCTATGCCCTTTATGGTGCTTCTGTTTTGGCGCTAGTTTGTTGATGGAAGAGTGAATGTTAGCACTACTTTACTGAGTTGAACTTCCATTCCTCCTTTCTCACTCAACAGATTGCTCGACTGCTCTCCCATGTACCCAACTCCCTTCCTTCCAGCGCCTGTCTCGTACTAGCCATGTGGAGTTCAGCGCATTGCTGTGGTACACAGCCAAGTTGCATAACAGAGCAGTGGGCTGCATGTGGCAAGGCATCTCACCTGGCGGCCTCTCATCTCATCTGATGGCCCCCCAATGGGCACCAGAAACCCGGCAATGTTGGTACCTTCACCACAATGATAGATTGTTCTCATTTCTAATCCTCCCTTCCGCCGTCGTTTGTCTGTGCAAGTGTTCAATTTGTGACGCTATTTGCTGGTGAGGTGCAGTGGAACTGAGCATTGCTTTCCGTTTGCTGTGCCATCAGCTGTCTTCCACCTCCACCCTCCTCGCTCAGTGGTGCAACATCCCAATCTCCTTTGCCCTTTCCTCCCCCCACTCCCTTGCCCTTCCTACACCAACAACACATTGCCTAGTTCTGGTTATGGGGAGCCCACCTATTGATTGGGACGCGTAGCTCGGTTGCATGGCAGAGGCTGTAGCAGCAGAAGCAGCAGCAGCAGTAGGCGTGACAATGGTGTTGGTGAGCTGGGAGGGAAGAGCGTGCAATGAGTGGTCACGTAGATGTAAGGCTATGATGGCGTGGGGTCAGTTGTCAACAGCTCCCCTCTCTGCAAATCGCCCCTACCGTGCCTTTTGCACACTCTCCCATCCCCAATACCCTCCCCTCCGCCCCCCCTTACCCTCCCCCGCCCCCCCTTCTCCCTCCCTTCATCACCCTTTTCCGTTCCCACATCAGCCCATCTCATGGCTGTAGAAACAATCTGGAGATTGTCATCCAAGGGTCACAGCACTAGCAGTCGTGACGGTGAGTAGGTAGGCAAGGGAGGGAAGCGCAAGGCAGCAGAAGCCATAAGTTGGAAGCGGTAGCTCTACAGGGCTTTTATGCGGTAGCTCTACATGAGGGATGAAGTGTGCAAGCACATGAGGGATAAGTATGTGCCATGTTTGAAGGTGTGTTGGTGTCTGCGCTGCTTTATCTGCAGGAAGAGTCACCCAGCTAGTTTAGATTGACGAGTAGAATTTGTTGAGGCACAAGTAGGGGTGAGCAAGGGGCGAACACGAACGTGTTTGTGTTCGCCCCTGCACGAACACAGCCGTTCGCCGAACCGAACACTGTTCGGTTCGGCAAACACTTTTAGCCAAAAAGGGTGTTCGGGGTTCGCCTGTGAAGACGTGTTAGGGCGAACCTCGAACACGTTCGTGTTCGACGTGGGGCAAATTGCAGCAGCGCCCTGAACACGAACATGTTCGGGCGAACATCGAACATGTTTGCCCCGAACACTTAAGGCAAAAAAAAAAAGCCTGTTCGGTTTGCCTCGAACGTGTTCGAGGCGAACCAAACAGGCGTTCGTGATTTTTCTCACCCCTAGGCACAAGCACGCCATTAAGTTTGGAAGTCATGTTTTCATGTATAGCCCTTGTCATACAACCGCCTGCATGCAGCCTTATCCAGCCCGACATGATGCACCAAGTAGGGTGTTCTAAGGAAAGGAAAAACGTGAGTTGGCTCTCTTGCACTGTCCCCCTTCACTCTGCCCATCAAATTGATTCGTTGAACAATTGCACACCACCACTTCCACCCTCCCCCATCCTCTCCTTCATTCCCTCCCCCATCCTCCCCTTCATTCCCTCCCCCGTCCTCCCCTTCATCCCCTCCCCCATCCTCCCCTTTATTCCCTCCCCCATCCTCCCCTTCATTCCCTCCCCCATCCTCCCCTTCATTCCCTCACCCATCCTCCCCTTCATTCCGTCCCCCATCCTCCCCTTCATTCCCTTCCCCATCCTCCCCTTCATTCCCTCCCCCATCCTCCCCTTCATTCCCTCCCCCATCCTCCCCTTCATTCCCTCCCCCATCCTCCCCTTCATTCCCTTCCCCATCCTCCCCTTCATTCCCTCCCCCATCCTCCCCTTCATTCCCTCCCCCATCCTCCCCCTTCATTCCCTCCCCCATCCTCCCCTTCATTCCCTCCCCCATCCTCCCCTTCATTCCCTCCCCCATCCTCCCCTTCATTCCCTTCCCCATCCTCCCCTTCATTCCCTTCCCCATCCTCCCCTTCATTCCCTTCCCCATCCTCTCCTTTATTCCCTTCCCCATCATCCCCTTCATTCCCTTCCCCATCCTCCCCTTCATTCCCTCCCCCATCCCCCCCCTTCATTCCCTCCCCCATCCTCCCCTTCATTCCCTCCCCCATCCTCCCCTTCATTCCCTCCCCCATCCTCCCCTTCATTCCCTTTCCCATCATCCCCTTTATTCCCTTCCCCATCCTCCCCTTCATTCCCTCCCCCATCCTCCCCTTCATTCCCTCCCCCATCCTCCCCTTCATTCCCTCCCCCATCCTCCCCTTCATTCCCTCCCCCATCCTCCCCTTCATTCCCTCCCCCATCCTCCCCTTCATTCCCTTCCCATCCTCCCCTTCATTCCCTCCCCCATCCTCCCCTTCATTCCCTTCCCCATCCTCCCCTTCATTCCCTTCCCCATCGTCCCCTTCATTCCCTTCCCCACCCTCCCCTTCATTCCCTTCCCCATCCTTCCCTTCATTCCCTCCCCCATCCTCCCCTTCATTCCCTCCCCCATCCTCCCCTTCATTCCCTTCCCCATCCTCCCCTTCATTCCCTTCCCCATCCTCTCCTTCATTCCCTTCCCCATCATCCCCTTCATTCCCTTCCCCATCCTCCCCTTCATTCCCTCCCCCATCCTCCCCTTCATTCCCTCCCCCATCCTCCCCTTCATTCCATCCCCCATCCTCCCCTTCATTCCCTCCCCCATCCTCCCCTTAATTCCCTTCCCCATCCTCCCCTTCATTCCCTTCCCCATCCTCCCTTCATTCCCTCCCCCATCCTCCGCCTTCATTCCCTCCCCCATCCTCCCCTTCATTCCCTCCCCCATCCTCCCCTTCATTCCCTTCCCCATCCTCCCCTTCATTCCCTCCCCCATCGTCCCCTTCATTCCCTCCCCCATCCTCCCCTTCATTCTCCTTTCCCCATCCTCCCCTTCATTCCCTTCCCCATCCTCCCCTTCATTCCCTGCCCCATCCTCCCCTTCATTCCTTTCCCCATCCTCCCCTTCATTCCATTCCCCATCCTCCCCTTCATCCCCTTCCCCATCCTCCCCTTCACTCCGTTCCCCATCCTCCCCTTTATTCCCTTTATTCCCTTCCCCATCCTCCCAAAGTAGCAGCAGCAGCCGGCGAAGCGGCACTGGGTGCTGACGTGGGGTGCAGTGCAGCAGGGTCAAGAGTGGTTTCAGTGACCAGAGCTGACGAGCGGCCGTCAAAGCGAAGGTGGGAGTTAGACAGAATGGAAGAATGGAGCAGACAGGAGTGAGACGAGGGATGGCGCAGGGGCACAAGCAGGCGGGAGTGGGGAACAGTGAGGCGTGGGCGTGTGAGCATGCTGCACCGGATCTGGCTGGCACACGTGGGTGACGGGGGGACACCTGCTTGGTGGGGGCAAGCTGCGGAAGGAAAGGACGAGAAGAGAAGGGGCAGGAAGGTCTCTGCAGCAACGAGCTGTATTGCCGCGTGAAGGAGCACAGCAAGGTGTGGGAAAGATGGATGCTCCCCTCACATAACGTGGCGATCAAGAACGGAAGGAGCAGAAGGAGCGGAAGGAGCGGAATGCAAAGACCGAGGGGATGGAGGATGGAACTTTTCAAGAGTGGCGTCATGGGGGGGTAGACTATGTAGGAGGGGGCCTCGAGGCTGGAGTGATGGCTGTTCGGCGAAGCCTTTGCGATGGCAATGGCGATGGTAAGTCGACCCCTTTTGATTTTTTTTTTTTTGGGGGGGGGGGGGGGGGGGGAGGAGCGGAGGTGAAATCGCACTATATAATGCGACTTGTCTCGGGACTCATTCCCGTTGAATACACGCGTGGCTGGGCGTGCGATGTGCGAGTGGGGGCATCACGTCACCCGCTGGTGTCAAGACGGCCGAGGATTGCACCGCACCTCGCCGGCATGATGCCTCGCACCCGTCGCTGTTCCACCGCCAACGGCTTTGCGGACGGAAACGTAGTGATTGCCCCCTCAGCCGTGTGCCTGTGTCTCCTACACCTCGCCCACTTGTCGTCCACCTGCCCCGAACCCGAATGGATTCCGAGTCGTAATTAGAATAATTATTCTGAGCCCATCCCAGCTGATCCCGTCATTTCCCCAAAGTCCTTACTGGCTGCTCCTGCCCGCCTGAACCCTCATTCTAACTGTCGCACCATGGTGTCGCTCTGTTTGTTTCCTCCTTCCCCGCTCCCTCCCTCTCCCAATTCCTTCCGCCCCATTCCCCCCCAGCTCCGCGCCTGTTACTCCTAGCTGTCTTCTGCCTGCCCCACTGCACTCAATGCACTGAATGCACTCACTGCACCCCCTCCCGCCACTCCTCTCAGCTTCCAGCTTTGTTTCCCACCTTTGGTCCACATTTCGTTTCTTACTGTCTTGAGAATTCTCAAAAGCGATACACGCATCGCACTGCTCCCTTCCGCTCCTCTTCCTCCCCTCCCCTGCTATCCAGCGCCGCACCTACGTCTCCAACACTTACTTCTGCCCCACTGCTCGGACCCGCGCCCCCACGGCATTGTCTCCCGTACTCCTCTCATACACTACTGTGCTGTTCACTCCTCTCCCTCTCTCCTCTCCCATTCCCACTCCCACCAGCTCCACACCTGCTTCTCCTGCACCGACTCCTGGATTCTGCCCCACACAGACTCCAACCCTTCCAGCGTGGGCGCAATGTTCATTCACACGCACCCTACGGGCTGCTGATGTGGCGGAGGTGCACGAGTGTTGCGGGCTACTGGGTGTCTCGTGGCGGTGTTGTTCTACAAGGATGAGCTGAGGTAGGAGGAGAGGAGATGCGTGGGGCAAGGAAGGAGGTGGGCTGTCATGGGTCACTACTGCTGCTCACTACTACTGGTCACTGGTGGGTGAAGGAGGTGTGTGTGGGTAGTGCGAGGAAGGTGGGCCACCTATGGGTCAGTCTCGGGTCAGGTCAGTAGTAGGTCAACCTCACGTCACTCTCACGTCAGTCAGGTGACTGTCAGGTGATTCAACTGTGTTTCAGGCTGATCCGCGAGAGTCTTAATGCCATGAGTGTGGTGGTGTTTTTCAAGGTGCCTCCGTGTTTGCTGCATGTTCTTCTGAATGCCATGAATTTGCATGCCCTGTGCCTGTATGCCTTTCCACTTGCCCATCCCCATCCTCATAGCGATCCCCCTTCCCCAGGTGCATACTGTAGCCAGTAGCGTCCATCATTCGCCGCCTATCCTTCAACCACCTCTCTGGTCTCTCTCTCAGCCATCCTTCCTCTTATCACCCACCAGGTGTGCATGGTGCAGCCAACAACGTCCACCAGTCTGCTCCAATCAGCCGATCATGCACCCACCTCCCGGTTTTCTCTCTCTCCTTCTCGCCACCCGTTCCCCCAGCCACCCACCTGGTGTGCATGGTGCAGCCAGCAGCGTCCATCCCCTGCCATCTTTGCACTGACATGCCGATCAACAACCACTCACCTCTACACCGAGGTGAGTAGTGCCTTGTATCGAACCTGCCTCTACCCAATCAAGTCTGTGCTCTCATTTGTCCACTGGCTCGCCACCACTGCTATTGGCTCTGCCTCTTGTGCCCACCCTTTTGATGTCACGGTGGAGGCAGCCCCTTTATCTCATCACTCTCAGGTCACTCTCAGGTCACCCTCAGGTCACCCTCAGGTCACCCTCTTGGTGTGCATAGCGAAAATTTCACTCTCCATCATTGCTCCGCCATCCCCTTCCCCTTCCCCTTCCCCATCCCCATCCCCATCCCCATCCCATCCCCATCCCCATCCCCATCTCCATCCCCATCCCCATCCCCATACCCATCCCCATCCCCATCTCCATCCCCATCCCCATCCCCATCCCCATCCCCATCCCCATCCCCATCCCCATCCCCATACCCATCCCCATCTCCATCCCCATCCCCATCCCCATCCCCATCCCCATCCCCATCCCCATCCCCATCCCCATCCCCATCTCCATCCCCATCCCATCCCCATTCCCAACCCCTTCCCATCCCATTCCCGCCTCCCATCCTCTTGCCATTTCTCCCACTTCTCAGGTACTCTGTGTGTGCTCCATTGCCACTTCTCAGGTACTCTGTGTGTGCTCCATTGCCACTTCTCAAGTACTCTGTGTGTGCTCCATTGCCACTTCTCGGGTACTCTGTGTGTGCTCTATTGCCACTTCTCAGGTACTCTATGTGTGCTCAATTGCCACTTCTCAGGTACTCTGTGTGTGCTCCATTGCCACTTCTCAGGTACTCTGTGTGTGCTCCATTGCCTCTTCTTAGGTACTCTGTATGTGCTCCATTGCCACTTCTCAGGTACTCTGTGTGTGCTCCATTGCCACTTCTCAGGTACTCTGTGTGTGCTCCATTGCCACTTCTATGGATGCGGATGTGGTACAGTTGGTGGTGTTCAAGCGGGACTAACAGGGTCCAACATCCTACAACATCGCTCCCTTCTTCCCCCCTCCCCCCCCCACCCCCCCCCCCTCCCCTTCTCATCACTCACCAACTCTCGCTTACCCGCCTCACTCGCATGTCCCACTGGTCCCTCTTGGGCTGTCCCACCTGCAACTCCCACTAGCAACCCTCCCCCAACTCAATCACTCACCGCCCTTGATTACAAAGTTTTTAATACATAGCCACGTGCCTCCCCCCCCTCCTCCCATCTCTCACCATTTCTCTCTCACCCACTTCACTGACATTCACATCTCGACCCTGCTGGGCTGTCGTACCGCTCTCTCCCACTGCCCACCCCCTTACCCTTAAATTGCTTTCACTGCCCTTCCATTGTTTTCGGTCCCGTTTTATCCGCTTTCATGGCATTCGGTGGTATCATCCTGCTTTTCACTTCTCTCCGATCCCTCTGCTGTGTTTCAGGACAATGGAGGATTGAAGTTGAATAGATGAGCAGTTGCAAAAGCACCAGCAGCAACAGCAAATGCAGCTACAGTAGCAGCACCACCAGCATCACCGCGGGTGTGACCACAAACACCCACCACCACACCAATGAACAGAGACAGCAGCAAGAGGGGTCCGACATCTGCTCGTCCTTGCCTGGTCAAAGCTTCAACTTCCCTTCCGTAACAAGCCTCAGGCTCATCAAAACCAGCCGGTGAGTCACATGGCATTGACAAGTGGCTATGCACTCTCACTCTGCTGCTAGTTGCGGTGCCACTGCTGCCTCCTCATTCTACTCTCCCTCCTCCTCTCCTTCTCCCCCCTCTTACTCTCCCATCCTCTCCTATGCTACATTCATCCTCTCCTACTCTCTCCTGCAATCCAAGCCATCGGTGAAGGGGCCTCAATGGCCTCCCACGGGGATGTAGCTCAGATGGTAGAGATCTCGCTTAGCATACAAGAGGTACGAGGATTGATACCCCGTGGTTTCAGATGTGCGGGGATAGCTCAGTTGGGAGAGCGTCAGACTAATGTCGGAGTTACCGCTATGCTCTTCTCTGCCTTGATTCTCCTGCTCTTCCTCTCCTTCGTTCCTTCTGCTGCCTCAGCCACTCTCATGAAGGAGTGGTAACTCTCACCTCAAAGGTCCTCTCTGAGTGGTGTGCCACCTGTAGGCAAATCTGAGGTAACAACTGTCCACTATACGAAAGGATAACAAACAGAAAGCATTGTGTGTGTGTGTGAGAGTGAACTTACCTGTCCCTGGCTCGAGCCGTGCATTTCTCAATGTGCGGCTTGAGCCTGGGTTGGGTTTGTTCCCATTGGTCGCGAGGATTTCACCCCCTGGTGTTCTCCTACCAACTTCGCGTCAATTTCCCAGCCTCCCACCTACCCATCCTTGAGCCTGCATACAACAAATACAACACATTACTACACCCTTTCTACACCACAATCATACTGGCACCTTATATGCACAAACGTACATATTCGGTGACAGCTGTCGGAGTTACCGCTATGCTCTTCTCTGCCTTGATTCTCCTGCTCTGCCTCTCCTTCGTTCCTTCTGCTGCCTCAGCCACTCTCTGCCCCCTCCTGTGCCCGTGCTCGCGCAGCTTGAGCGCGGGTCACAGGACCGTTGCGCTGAGGCCCGCTGCCTCTGATCACGGCAGTGTTCGTTTGATGCTCCTTCACTTGCGCCCCCGTGTCATTCTCCAGGACCAGCACCCCTGAAGGGCGCACCTCCTTGACCTTCCAGCGGACCGTACCCAGCCCCACATCCAGGGTGTCTTGCTTTGCCCTCTTGAGGTACACCTCCTGCCCTTCACAGACGCCTCTTGCCACTCGCCCCTCTCCCTTGCGCTGCCTCTGTTCGTACCTCCTTGCGTCCCTCAGCTGTGCAGTGTGCAGGTTCTCCAGTGCCGCTGGCAGCATGTAGCGCATGTAGTGCGCTCTCACCTCGGACAGGGCCACCCAGTTCTTGATCGTGCCTGCTGTCACCGTGTCTGTCAGTACCCGTGGTGCCTCCACTGGCAGGATTGGCTCTCTTCCGTAAAGGAGGCTGTACGGGGAGTGGTCCTTGAGTGCTGCCTGCTTCCCGAACCTGTACCCTGCGGCTATCCAATCCAGCTCCTCATCCCAGTCCCTCTTCCTCTGCTCCCCATAGGCCCGCAGCCCCCGCTTGAAGGTCTGCACCGCTCGCTCGGTCAGCCCGTCGCTTTGTGGGTGGTAGCGGGAGGTTTTTCTGTGCGCTATGCCGGATTCCTTCAGCAGCTTCTCAAATTCCCCCAGAAACTCCGTCCCCTGATCCGTGAGTACCTCCCCGCACGCTCCAAAGCGACACACCACCTGCGCCTTGAAGGCTGCTGCTATGTGCCTCGCGCTCTTGCTGGGGATGGCTTTCACCTCCAACCACTTGCTCGCATGCTCCACCATGGACACGATGTACCGATTTCCGCTCCTGCTGAGCGGCAGCTCTCCCGCGAGGTCCAAGGACCATCGGAATCCCAACCCGCAAATCGGCAGTGAATGCAGTTCTGCTTTGGCCTGCGTTAAGTTTGCCTTGCTCCTCTGACACGCCTCACACCCCTCCACCCACTCTTTCACTTGCTTGCGCATCCCTTCCCACCACCAGCCTGTCTTCAGCAGGTGTACAGTCCTCTCGTGCCCGAAGTGTCCCAGCTTCGTGTGCACCTCCTTGATCACTGCTTCACGGTCCGTGGGTGCAGGCACTAGCTTCCACCCGTCCTCTGTCTTGATCTGCAGCTGCCGCTGATACCACCTGTAGTGGTGCCCCCGTGCCCGCACTCTTTCTGACACTGTCTCGTCTTCCTCTGTTTCTCCTTTCACCCACCGCATTGCCTTCTCGTCCTGCCAGATGTCGGCTGGTCCCTTGCTCCCCTTGGCTCCGACCTCTTCCGCTTCTCTCGCCAGCATGATCAAGGTGTGTGCTGGCTCCAGCTCCGTCCCTTCCGTCCCCTGTGTTCTCTGTCCTGATTCCAGCGGTGGTGGGTTGCGAGAGAGACCGTCGACGTGCTGCAGCGTCTTCCCCGGCCTATGCCTGATCTGGAAATCATATTCTTGCAGCTTCACTGCCCACCTTGCGTTTCTTCCCGTCAGCCCTGGTGTGGTCATCAGCCAAGTGAGGGGCTGATGGTCAGTGACCAGTGTGAACTCGCGGCCCTGCAGGTACACCCTGAAATGCCCCACCGCCCACACGGCCGCCAGCCCCTCCCCTATGTATGAGCTATACTGCGCCTCTGCGGGGTTGCAACTCCTGCTGGCGTAGGCTACCACTTTTTCCACTCCCTCCACTTCCTGGCACAGGATTGCCCCCATCCCCTGGCTGCTCCAATCAGTGTAGAGGACGAAGGGCTGGTCTGCTGCTGGCAGCCGCAGCACGGTTGCTGTCTTCACGGCTGTCATGAGGTCTTGCAGTGCTTCCCTCTGCTGTTCTCCCCACTCCCATACCTTGTCCTCTCGCAGCATCCCGTTCAGCACTGCCGCCCGCTTACTGAAGTTAGGCACGAAGCGCCTGTAGTAGCTGAGGAAGCCCAAGACTGCGCGCAGCCCTGTCTTGTCCCTGGGTTCCCTCAGCCTGTCCAGCACCTGCACCTTTGCTTGCTGAATCCCGATCTGTCCTCCTGTCACTTCATACCCCAGGTACTGCACTGTCCGCTCCCCCCACCTGCACTTGTTGGGATGACAGGTGAGCCCTGCCTCCTCTATTGCACTCAGGGTCCGCTCCACGTCCTCAAGGTGCTGCTGCTCTGTCTGGCTGAAGATGACCACATCATCAATGTAGCATGCTGCATGTTCAATCCCCCGCAGCACCGCATCCATAACTCTCTGAAACACTGCCGAGGCATTCCGCAGGCCGAAGGGCATGTATAACCACTCATACAGCCCGTCCGGTCCGTGGAAGGCTGTCTTCTTCACATCTTCCTCTCTGATTTTTATCTGATTGAATCCCTGGCGCAGGTCCAGCGTCGTGAAGTATACTCCGTCGGCCAGCTTGTCGAAGAGTTCTTCCGCCATTGGCATGGGGTACCTATCCGGCACGGTGATCTTGTTAAGATCTCTGTAATCACCGCACATTCTGCGGCTCAGCACCTCGCCTGTCAAATCCTTCCTGGCTGCCACCACGGTCGGGGTTGCGTACTCTGACTCTGACCTTCTGATCAGTCCTGCTTCCAGCAACTCCTGTACTTTCTCCTTGCAGATCGCCTCATCCCCTGGTGGCATCTTTCTTCTGCGATGGAACACCGGCTCTTCACTGTTCAGCTTCAATGCCATCTCCTTGATCTTGCACTTCCCCAACTCCTGCAGGGTGAAAGCGAAGCCTTTCCTGTGCTTGACCAGTAGTGCCAGCATCGCTGTCTTCCCTCCCTCGCTCATGCTCTCTCCTATCTTCCACTCAGGCTCTGCTGTTGGCAGGCAGGTCCACACCCCTTGTCTCACCGTTGCCTCTGTATTTTCTCCCTCCTTCAGTCCCCAGTGCAGCACCGTTTCTCTCCACATCCGCTGCACCAACCACCTCATCACGTATCCATCCATTGCATTCCCCATCGCCCGCCTCCTTTCCTGCTCTGTCACGCCCGGGGCTGCTGTGATGTTCTCCTTGTACCCCATAGCCAGCTCCCTCTCCAGGGCCGTGGGCTCTTCCCATCTTCCCTTCCTATGATCGAGCACTAGTCCTGGGCCTGGCTGCTTCCCCTCCATCTGGTACCCTGCTGCCCCTTCATATGACACGAGCGTCGGCAGTGCTTGCCTCTCTTGCCCCACTGTGTTGCAAGGGTAATGTCGGCTGTAGCTCCTCTTGCTTACTGGTGCTGGTGTTCGCCCAGGCTCGAGTATATCGCTCAGCTTCCGCCCCCCTGCTCTTCTCACCCCCTCTATCTCCCTCTGCAGGTCTTCTGCTGGCACCACGTTTTGCCAATACACTCTGAGCCTGTGTGAGTAGGCTCCCATCCGTGTTGCGTCGCAGCTTACCCCTTTTCCCACCTGTCTGGTCACTCGCTCCCTTACCAGCCGTATGGGCTCACGCACATCTCCTTCCATGTCTAAATGCTCCAGCAGGTACGCCACCCTGCCTTGTTGAGCCTGCAGCCATTCCATCACTCTGAACAAGTCTTCCATCAGCTGTGTTCGCAGGTCTTGCTCACCCTTGCCTTTCCCAGCCCATGATACCCCTTGGCACTCCCACCCAGCCACTAACAGGTCCACGTGCCCCCAGCTTGCCACCTCAGCTTCTGTGATGGCCCTGACGTCGTTGACTCCTCTGCTCATTGCTGCCCTGATCACCTCTTCCTTCAACAGCTCCGGGAACTCGCTGTGCAGCTGCCATGCATGATGCTCCGCCATTTTCCTTGCTTCTGCCGCCTTCTCTACGTAAATCCACTGCTTCACTGCTATCCCGTTCCGTACCACCGCTGCCAAACCCGCCCCTATGCCCCCGAAGAGTTCCACCAGGCGGATAGGTTGCTGCCAATCGGATTGTTGGCTGGGCTCGTCCATGAAGTGCATCCTCGGCTGTCCACCCTGTTCCTTGTTCCTCGCGGTCTCCTGTGCCCCCTGCTTCGCTGCCCCCTCCTTCAGATCCGCCCTGTAAGCCCGCTTTGGCTCTGTCTTGACGAACTGCACCGGCAGCTGTCCCAGTGGCTCACCCTTCTTCCACCACCTGGTTCTGAATTCTACCGTCTCCTTCCAAAAGCAGATGGTCATGCCCAGTGCAAAGATCATCTCCGTGCCCACCAAAACGTCGAAATCTTCAGATTCTGAGATCCCACACCTGATCCTCACCGGTGTTTCGTGCTTCTCTCCTTTGAGCACCGTCAGTTCTATTGGAGTCCTTGTGCATGGCATCCACTTTGACTCTCCTCCCTCTGCTGTCATCACCAGCATTCCCTTCACTACATGTCTGTCCGGCGCCCACAGTCCCAGTTTTTCTGCCATTCCCCTCCCTAGTATCACGCTCTGCGCGCCCGTGTCTATAATAGCCGTCTTCGCCTTCTCCCCTTCCACTGACAGCGCACCTCCTTGTATCAGCAGCACTGAAGTCTGGCACGCCAGCCGCTCCTGTGGATGCCGTGCCGCTGTACACCTCTCTTCCTTCTCCTCCGGTTTCTGTCCTCTCTCTCGCTCCTTCCTTACCTGGTCCTTCCGTGCATCCTTTCCTCCGCTGCGTAGCCCCATCTCCTCCCTTCCTCTCCATGCCATGTATGCTGGCTGCTCCTCGTGTTCCACCTCATCCTTCGCTTTGCCTGCCCAGCTCATGAAAGCGGCCTCCTCATCTTGCTCTACATCCTCTTCCTTTTCCTTCCCCGCGTACATCCCCGCTTCTGCCTCGCGTCGTGGTCCCATTGCCTGTAGCTGAGCCTGCAGCCTGCCAATCTGCTTTTCCAGGTCCTCTGGTGTCCTCTTCGCCGCTCCTTCCCGCTGATAACACTCCCTTGCTGCATGCCCTCCCTTCCCACAGATTTCGCACTTCGGAGCTGTTGGGCATTCCCGCCGCCGGTGCCCTGGCTTACCACAGGAGTCGCAGTTCTTGCAGTCTCTGCGCAGGTGCCCTGGCTGCCCGCATCGGTGGCACGTTCGTGCGTCAGTCCTGCTATCCCCTCTTCCCCCTGCCCTTTCCTTTTCCTCTGGTATCATGGCTGCTGCCCATGTAGGTCCTCTGCCATGCTCTGCTGGTCGTTGCCGGTAGGCTTCAAGCTTCCTCTGGGCCATCTCCATCTTCTCAGCTAGCTCAAACACTTCATCAAGTGTCACTTCAGCCCCCATCTCATATACTTTCAGCCTCAGCCCGCTTCCCAAGGTACCCTCCAGGCCGTCCAGGAACTTGCTCACAAGCAGGCCCATGTCCGCACAACTCACGTCCTCCGCTATGTTGACCAGCCGATTGTAGTAGGTGAGTAGTGACTCTCCCCGCCCCTTCCTAAAGTCTTGAAACTCTCTGATCTTCTCTGCAGTGTGGCCTGGGAACTGCCGCTTCAGCCGCCTCAGAAATTCTTCGGTTGGGTCCTCCCCATACCTTCCTGCCCTCTCCAGTAGCTCATTCATCTTCATCCTGTATAACGTTTCTGCCTCCCCCTCCAGTGTGTTTGGCAGGCTCAGAAAGAAGTCCACTGCATCCATGCCGCCCCTCTCGCATCTGTACCGCACGTTGCCCACTTGCATGAGATAATTCTTCAGTGTGGGCCCCAATCGCTGGTCCCCAGAGAAGCGTGCTGGTACTTCCACCCTTGTGACCATGGCTGTACTTCCCTTTCCTTCTCCCCACGCCTCACTATATCTCTCTGCTGTCCTGCCTGCCGTTCCCCTCTCTCCCGCCCGCCGTATTCCCTCCCTCGCCTCTCTGGCTCGCTCCAGGCTGTCCATCAGCCCGCTGCCTCCCACTCTGCTGCTGCGCAGATCTTGTCCTCCTTCGCCGGCACGCCTCTCGTCATGTTGCCGATAACGCTCTGGCGAACGTGCCCCACCGCTTTGCCTTATATCCCTGCTCCGCTGCCGCGGTGGCGAGCGATGTCTGCCCCCGTGACTCTCCTCAAGCGGCTGCCGCCAATCCGGCGAGCGCGCCTCGCCTCTCCACCCTCCTCCAGGATGCCGTTGCGCGTCAGGCGAGCGCTGGACATCTCTGCTCCTCCCATCATGATAGCGCTGCAGATCTGGTGAGCGTGAGCCCCTCTCGCTCCTCCCGCCGTGATACCTCCGCGGATCTGGTGAACGCGTGCTGTCTCCGCGCTCCTCCCCACGACACTGCCGTGGATCTGGCAAGTGGTGACCACTTCCGCGCATTTCGTCGTGCCACTGCCGCACATCAGTCGAGCGGTAGCCGCCGTCGCGCCTGTCCTCACGCTGCTGCCGCGAATCTGGCGAGCGGTTGCCGCCGTCACGTCTGTCCTCGCGCTGCCGCCGCGGATCTGGCGAGCGGTAGCCGCCGCCACGCCTCTCGTCACGCCGCAGCCGCGGATCTGGCGAGCGATGGTCGCCGCCGCGCCTCTCGTCACGCTGCAGCCGCGGATCTGGCGAGCGATGGTCGCCGCCACGCCTCTCGTCACGCTGCCGCCGCGGATCTGGCGAGCGATGGTCGCCGCCGCGCCTCTCGTCACGCTGCAGCCGCGGATCTGGCGAGCGATGCCCGCCGTCGCGCCTCTTGTCTTGCTGCAGCCGCGGATCTGACGCATGCCTCTCGCCACCATGATTCTGGTCGTGGTGCTGATGGGGGGTTGGCGAGCGCGATCCACGGCTACGCCTCCTGTCGTCGTTGCCTTCTTCACCACGCGTCTGGTTCCGCGCACCATCCTTCCCGCCTATTTCTGCCGCGCCTGGCGCAGCCTCCTCGCTCGCCCGCATCGGACTGGCTTCCTTGACTTCGGCGTGCATATCGCGCTGCTCGCCCGCGCCTTCCTCATGGGCCTCGTCATCGCCCTTCGCTTCACTCTCGAGATCCATTTCCTGCGGCTTCTCCGCCATATCGACCTCGCCCTCCCCATCCACATCGAGATCTCCTTGCCGACCAGAGAATAGCTCCTCCAGGCCACGCCCGCGACTGCGATCTTCGCGACGGCGGTAACCTTCGTCCGGCGAGCGATACGCTCCCGTGTCGTGGCGATGTCCGCATTCGCCACCAGCCCCGTGGTGCGTATCCGTCCGCCACGGGTCACTTCCCATCCTGACGGACTCGGATCCGCCTCTTCCTTCGCGCTCTGCACCTTCTTCACGGCGATCTGGCGCGAGAGGGACCAGATCGGCGCGAAAAGCCGGCCTCCGCGGCGAGCGCTCAGGCCTCCGCGGCGAGCGGTCAGGCCTCCGCGGCGACCTCTCTAGCGAACGCCCGCGCTCTCGTGAGCGCTCCCGCCGCGAGCGATCACCCTCACGACGATCGTACTTCCTGCCATAACGCAACTCGTGCACATCCATGCTTGCACGCGCACCTTTCTGTTTGTTATGAAGGAGTGGTAACTCTCACCTCAAAGGTCCTCTCTGAGTGGTGTGCCACCTGTAGGCAAATCTGAGGTAACAACTGTCCACTATACGAAAGGATAACAAACAGAAAGCATTGTGTGTGTGTGTGAGAGTGAACTTACCTGTCCCTGGCTCGAGCCGTGCATTTCTCAATGTGCGGCTTGAGCCTGGGTTGGGTTTGTTCCCATTGGTCGCGAGGATTTCACCCCCTGGTGTTCTCCTACCAACTTCGCGTCAATTTCCCAGCCTCCCACCTACCCATCCTTGAGCCTGCATACAACAAATACAACACATTACTACACCCTTTCTACACCACAATCATACTGGCACCTTATATGCACAAACGTACATATTCGGTGACACTAAAGATCTGGAGGTCGCGTGTCCGATCCACGCTCACCGCACACTTAGACTTTGCTTGCTTGTTCCACTGCCTGATGTGGCACTAGGTGCTTACTTCACGCCTGGACCCTTGTGCCAATTTTTATAGCTTCACTCACATACCCTTGTGCCAATTTTTATAGCTTCACTCACATACCCTAGTGCCAATTTTTATAGCTTCACTCACATACCCTTGTGCCTCTTTTGTTAGTTCCCTCGCATCCCCTTGTGTCCATTTTTGCTCGCTTCACTACCTCATCTCACTGGCCTTCACTCACAGGCCCTTTGTGCCTTTTCTTGCTTGCTTGACCCATGTCGTCCAATAGGTGTGCCTCCTTGCATATGAGCAGCTCACAGCACTGGAGTTGCTCCTGCCTAAGCTGCCATGGCCTCGTTGCTGCTATGGCTGGCATGGCTACTAAACTAAATTGGATAGACAGGCATAAACCAGCAGGGTTGAACAATAGGGCTAGACAAGCAGGGGTAGAAAATCAGGGCTATAGGTGCAGGCTGGGCAATGAGGCTAAAGCAGCAGGGCGAGATGAGACAGGGGCTGAACAGGTGGGGTTGATGCCGTCGCCGCATTGGGCAGACAAGCCGCTGCATGGAGGAAGTAGGTGGAATATGTATGGGCTCCTTCTCAGCTGACGGCCTGTGCTGACGGCTTTCCGATGGACAGCAACAGGTTGACGATGGTGCCAGCGAGGAGGTGAGCAAAGCCGAGTGAGATGGAAGGTACCTTTGCCACGTTGCTAAATGAACTGTGTGATCCACGTTCTCTGTCCCTCGGTTGGTGCCATCTCCAACCAGAGCAGCACTTCTGGTGTCAGTGTGCTGCCACAGCAGATTGAATCTCAGCTTGAACGTATGCAATGCCATCCGCGCCCAGCATGGTGCTTCTGGCGCTGGAGTACTGATGGGAGGATGAATGAGAGCACTGATTTCCTGAGTATAATGCCATCAGCAGCTATCTTCCACTTCCTTCTCCTCGCTCAGCAGTACGTTCCTTCATCCTTTGCCTTCTTCCCCACTCGCCAGCACTCCCTTCCCCTTCCCACACCAACAGCACCTTCAATGGACTACTCTTATGGAGCAAACTCCTTTCAGTGGCACACAGCCGGGCAGCATGGCAGAGCCACGGGCAGCAGCAGCAGCGGCACTCATAGCGGTGAAGTCAGTCAGTGGTGAGTGGGGTCAGGGGCACGGGAGGGAGGCAAGGGCGAGAGGTGTGAGGCAGCAGCCACAGTGTGACTGACAGCCCGCTGATCATGCCAAGCTTTTAGGCGTGTGAAGAATGAAGAGGTGCTGCAGGCACATACTGGCGGCCATCAATGAGCACGACATCCACCACAGTCTTGCCTGCACGGGCCTGGGGCGTGTTCTTGACCTAGGGTGTGTTCCCGACTTAGGGTGTATTCCTGGCTTGGTTCCAGGCAGCCAGAAAGCTGATTGCTACCGGGCTGGACCAAGGTATATTAGCTGCATGATCACCATGCCATTCCTCAGGGCTTCCCAGCTGGGACTACACCAATCTCCCGTCCATCCCTCAGCTTCCTTCAAAGCATCATCAATGAAAGCATTCGCGGTTGTGAGCCAAGGCAAAGGACGTTATTACTAGGGTTCGAAAGGCCCTCGTTCTGTGATGTACAGACACACACACGTTTGGATTTGGGGAGGAGAGGGATGGCGAAACACAACCAATTCTTCTGCGTGCTGCTCGTGTGTCACCGCGAGTCCCTCTCATCACTCTCATCGTCATGGTGGGTGAATGTGAATGCACCTCTGCATCATGGCAGGCAGCCGCTGGAATAAATGCGATGGACCTCTCAGCTGACTGTGGGGGGCAAATGGTGGTGCCCAACACGAAGGTGAGAGGAGCTGCATAGGATGTGAGTGATTGACGGCACTATGCCCCTGCCACACCCTGCCCCACCAGAATGATGGACGAGATAAAATCGTCCTCTTGAGATCTCATCCGTAAACCGTTGAAGCTACTACATCTTCCCCCCTTACTTAAGTCATAGATGTGAGACTGTGTCAGTATGTGCTCAACTATACAATTCTCAATGTTGTATTGGGGTGCTTTTCCAACATTCACCTTGAGTTTGCTTAATCAATTTCGTTACCCCCCCTCCTCCCACTGTAACAAGCACTTAACAATATCATTTTGCATGCACACCTTTATGTAGCAATCGCTTCGCAACAGACATTCCCTCACTGCAGTGGCATGTGTCTTCACCACCACCACCATCATACCCACTAGATTGCTTCACTTCAGAATCTCCACAACAATCAAACCCACTCCCTCCCCCCTCTCCCTGCTAGACACGGGTTTTTTCTCACATGCAAACGTTATTTCAACTCGCTTTATCGGCAATAATCCCCTCCCATCCGCTTGCAGTACCTGTCTCTTCCTTCCAAGCCACCTTCACATTTCTCCCTTTCCCCCACCTCCCAAAGACGCGTCCCCTCCCTCGATCGATCTTGCGCAGGATCGATATTTGGCGGGGTTCGAGAAGGTCCTGCTTGTTGTAAAATATATTGCTGTCTTTCCTTTATTCCCATTCACTCTGTAGATGAACCATTTGTTCATCCCCATCTCACGTCATCCTCCTCTGCCCACCATCACCCTCGGATCGGCTCCCCCCAGATCCCAACCAAGCAGCATCATCACCGCTATTGCACCTTCAGAGTCTCGGACAACCCCATGCCTCCCTCCCACAGCAACTGCACCATGACAATCTGCTCCCTCAGCCCCGCCCCCCCATGCCCCACTCACCCTCCTGCATTTCAGTTGAACCACTTAGGCTCTCCATGCCTGCTGCTGCAGCAGCATTGGCAGCGGCCATGGCAAATAAGGTAGGACTTGGGCAGAAGGGGGAAGGGGGAGAGGGTATGCGAGAGTTGTGGAGAAGGGGGTGTAGGAGGCAATCAGGAGCACTCTGCCCAACATGCCCCTCTCGCCCTTCTTCTGTGCTGCTCATTGGATTGTCTCGGGGCTATATTTCACGCTGCCCCTCGATCCTCCTTCCTCCGCCCCCTACACATGCCTGGCCCTCCTTTTTGGAGGCTGGTTAATGCTGGAAACAGAGAGGATCCGCATTCACTCCAATCGCTTCTCAAGTTTGTTCACCCTCAAACACCTTTTCTTCCCCTACCCTCCCATTATTCGCCCTCAACTGCTTCTAGTAGTTGCCACGCCATGAAGGCATGGGATGGAGGGTGGTGAGGCTGGTGGAGTGAGGATAGCTAGCATCCCACATCGAATGGTCTTCAGCGGATAGTTGGGGTGCTCCACATGTGTGCCACATGGGCGGATGGTTGGGGTGCTCCACATGTGTGCCACATGGGCGGATGGCTGGGGTGCTCCACATGTGTGCCACATGGGCGGATGGTTGGGGTGCTCCACATGTGTGCCACATGAGGAGGCATGCCTATTGAGACATCTGTGCTCGTGCGTTTCATCCCACACCTCCACACCCCATGCCATACCTCATATATTTTTCTCATCCCACACCTCATTCCACACCTCATCCCACACCTCATCCCACACCTCATCCCACACCTCATCCCACACCTCATCCCACACCTTATCCCAGACCTCATCCCACACCTAATCTCAACCCTCATCCCGTACCCCATCCCATACTATGTATCCCTACGTACGGTCGCTTCTCTTCCTATTCTCTTTAGCATCCCTCATACGATAAGGCACAAGTAACCAGCCATGGAAGTACATTGAGTGGGTGGATTGTGGCTGTGGTAAGGAGGTGCAGATGTGGCAGCAATCGGATTCTTTTGTCTTCCTGTATACCGGTACTAACCATGCATTCCGAAGCAGATCAAGTCATAGTGAGAACCATTAATGTGATATAAGAAAATTCACATACTACAGTGACAAAATTAGAAGAAAGAAGAGGATTGAACTAGCAGGAATGAGGATACAAATAGAAAAACCCTAGAAGGGTTGTACTCGCTATAGAGCACCCCACTACAGGCTAGAACATAAGATAACATTCTGACATACTGGCCTTCAGCTAGGGCCTCAGATTTGATTTCGGCTAGTCTGAAAAATCAGAGTTGGTACAAAAATATATGCTGAAAAT